ACCACATTCAAAGTGAAAGAGATTTACGACATTATATACTGATGACAAACTCACGAAGATAGTGGGGATCTCAATCTATTAAGACATTTTTCGAGAGAAAAGTAGATATATATTTTAAGATATTAAACAAATAGTTCTTATAGAATTAAATGTCTAAGAAAAGATGTACAAAAATAGGAAGAATAGAAGAGGATTTAAATAAACTATTAAAATAATACTTCGAAACTGGTTTTTAATTTGTCAATATCCTAGGAAATAAAAACCATCTTGATCAGATTGAATGACCTTAATGATTGAACAAAGTTGTAAGAATTTCGTAAATTTATTAAAATGTTTTCCATTTACAATAAAAATATTAAGTTTATAAGACAGAAAATGAACAAAATTAACGTTAAATATTTCTAAAATATCAAAAATACTAATAACCAAATGAGTCTTATCTTCAGTATTGATTGAAATAATGAAGTAAGTACTCCATTTAAACTTCAACTGTTTATTTCACAATGTACTTAATTTACATAGTGTAAATATATACCAGCAAATTTATAAAAAAAACAGTAATTTTCTCAAATTGCGGAATATTCCTAAAATAACAAAAAAGGTGATAACCCATGCGAACTTCGTAAAGTAAAGTAAGATAATTGTCTTAAAATAAGTCACCGTGTAATTGTTTTGAATTTAATCATCATATTATAATAATATTTATAGCAAAAATAAATAAAAATATTTCATTATAAACTGAACGTCAGAATCTGGTCATATATGTAGTACAATATTATATCATAAATATAAGCTTTATATTTTGGTTACGCAAATCTCCAAATTACTTTTAATAAATTCGTACAAGCAAAAAATTCCAATAATAATTGAAAATTCACTAAGAAAAACAATGTTGGTATACTTATCATATTTTTTTCAAGTAAATAGTTTTTCCGATAAGTCCAATTAACACTAATTACAAATTATTTCATAACAGATAATTACAGATTTACGTCAATGAACTTTGTAAACGTCGCAAATGCTGTCTCCGCCGTACTGTCTCTAGATTGAACTGGTAATATATTTATCTTTATTACACAACGCTGATTGAAGTCTTAATGATTGCTATTTTTAATACAACTGTTTTGATCGCAACAGACATAACAGTTATGTTTATTATGTAATGTATAAGCGTAAAAAGTATTTAAATTTTTCCAGGGACTGAACTGAAATTTAAAAAAATACTGTTAAGTTTCAATATTTTCCTCTCCATCTTTGCTATTTCCAAATAAATTTACTCTAGTTAACTTTGTACATGTAGCTTTTTTAAATAGAGAAACGGGTAACAAAAAAAAAAGTAAACCAAATTTTTCGTCTTAAATCTGTAACTGTACGAGATATAGGCTTTAAAAGAGTTAATGCTACCTTAAAAATAAAAAAAATTAAACCAAGTTTCACTGACTGAATAATTCATTGTTTCGCGAATGACCTGTCTAAACATTTTAATTATTTTTGTTGTCATTTCATGCTTAATTTTATAGTTTTAGCTGAAATACCGGAAGCTTCTCAATAATAAATCCATTCTCTCCCGTATAATTAATACTGACAAAAGCATTGAAATATTCATTTAAGTAAATATGATAAGAAAATTATTTTATGACAGACCCACTTATCTTTACTATACATTAAATTTGTTGACATAATCTTTGAACACTGAAAATACAAACTAAACGCGTGCGAGATATATGTTAATAATATTTTCAATTTATTACTTGAATTAATTATTAGTTTATACTATTCAAAACAAAATTCGAATAAAACTATTGTTAGTCTAAGGGATCCTATAATTCGCGAAAGTAAGGATTACTACAAGAATAATATAAAGTCATAGAAAATGACCTAAGTCACACGAAAACTAGTAGGAAACATTTAAGTTACTAGAAGAGTAAGATCAGACCTTGGTTTACCTTCATTTACCGGAAGATTATCTTCCATTTGCGGCAGCGGTTCAAGACACGAGCGAGTAATTAATATTGAACTCTGATACATATTGTGGTAAATTGAGAATCTTTAACTAAATATAATAAAACACAAAGATTTCTTGTGTTGGAAAAAATAATGGTAAAAATATTGAAGAAATGAAAATCAACTAGGTACTGAAGTAGAGCTATGGTTAGTATTAGAGTCAGGGTAGGATAAATAACATAGTTCTCAAATATATCTGAATAATTTGAAGTCTTTCAATGTAAATAAAACTGCTTGGACCGATTGCGGCTAAAATTACTGTAGTTAAAGATTAAGATACCTCAGATTTGCTCAATGAAAAAGATAAGGCGAATGTTTCTGTATTAATATTTGTGTACGTTGTCATTTATGATCTTTTCAGTAATTACTGTACCTTTAATATTGTCAAATGTCCTTACATTCCTATTAGGTATTCGCATTATACGAGTTTAGATATTTCTTGATTCTCCATTGAATTTGCTTTTGGCAAAATTCCCTTTCCGAAAGGCTTCTTCGTTTTATTTAGTTAGGCATAGTTTGACATACTATGATAGATTTATATAATATATAAAACAAAACCGATATTAAATTAACACTCTGATATTCGAATCCGGTTGCCATATATAAATGTTTGACCAAAAGTTAGCACGAACAGAATATTTGACCGGTGGAAATTTAATTAGATCGAATATAATATTTCAAACTAATATTTTCATTTAATAAAAATCTTAACATTACAACTTAGTATAAAGATTGATTTAATATATAAGAATGGTACTTTTAAGTCGTCTTTGATAGAAGAAACATTTCATTTTATCCCACTCCGGATACGTTGAGATTTGCAGTTCACAAGAATTTGTTTATTGTGGAAATTGTATGATGAAAGGGTAAAGGGTAAAAACATAATAGTTATATATAAACTCTCTCATAATTGATAAATACATTAATTAGTGGACAATAATAAAATAAGTTATCAGTCAACACAACTAATTATAGGTGGATTAACGTCAATGATCTTTGTAATCCCCGTCACAAAATACTATCACCGGCTCACATCCGCATATTGAACTTGAGAAGATTTTATCTCGAGTCGTCAGTGGGTTTAAAGTTTTAATTACTACTAATCTTAGAACCTTGATATCTTATATTGGTCTTATTGCTAATGACTTCTTTAAAATATAATGTAAATATTGTTTACATGCAATAAAATAAGATAAAATAACTATTACACAACTAAAATGATCGATTGGATAAGTGATTTTTAAAGCAAAAATTTCCGTATGTCCATGCCTCAAAATAAACAAAATTATTTGGTTCATCATTCAGTAACTTCGGCGAGTTCATTGAACTTTCCTTACTGGTGAAATAAATAATAATTAAAATATGTGTTTTGAGTATCATGTAGATAATATTGTTATACCTTTTGAGTAAATTATGCTTATCTAATAATTTAAATAAATACGTTTTTATAATGAACAAATATGATAAAAATCCCTTTAATACCAGAGACGGTTGTATAATACATTATATATTTTAATATTATTTACATAATCTTTGGACAATGATAAATTTTACAGTAAGCATGTGACAAAACTACGTATGGTTTTTTTTGTTATATGACAATCATTACACAATGTTAATTATAAACTTCTATTAATATCCCTATTTAAGGCTAACGATTTTAAGGTATTATTACTTTATAGTTATAGTCTGTGACCATATTCTTATCAAAAAATTGTACATTAAACCCATAGCGGTAGTGTCATTGAGTAAAAGAACAAACATGAAATTGAATTAACATGATTAAACGTAATTTATCTGAGTTTTCGAACGAAGGACTCTTGCATCTAATTTATTTTTAATTAAATTCTACATTTAGATACTGTGTTTTTTTTTACTGTTTAGTTTTAAATTAATTATTATTTCTGGTTTACAATACATTTAAATTTGGAACTAAAAATATTACTGGTCAGTTATAAAAACGGGTGACAAAAAAAATTCAATTAAGTGGTTAATGACTTACTATAAGCGTAATTTGCATTTTTTATTTAAATTCGATCTTATTACTTTCAGTTTTCAGCATTCTTATCATCACACACCACATAATACATCAGTCAAAAATGCAGAATAATTTGTTGTTCTAGGAGTTCGTAAAAATATAACTAATCTTTAGAAAAAAAAAAAGATTAAATAAATGCCTTTATTTCCATTTGAAAATTTCCTTTGTGTTTTATCTGCCGAGTACTCAAGGTTATTAATTCGTCTAACAAATAGAAACGTCGACATTGACAAAATATTCCACCATTCCAATGTGAAGGAAGCCATAGCATATAGAATTAATTTGAAAAATCTATGGTTATACACATTTGAACATAAAACCATATGGCTCAGGCATATACTAATATATGGGGTTGTAATCTTTATAAATCGGAAACTTAGATATTTTTAGATTTATTTAAATTTTAAGTTTTTTTTATATAAAACAATTATATAAAATTTTTCAAATAAAAAGATCGAATATTTGCTTTGAATTTTATTTTATATGTAAAACTTTTACGTTTAATGTTCACGATAGTCAAATAAAAATTTAAACATTAAATACACAATGACAGAAATAAATATTTATTATCTGCTACTTATGAAAGAGATCTTGTTAGTTAAAAAATAAATTAAAATAAATATATTCTTTAAACACAATACACTTATTTCTAAACAAGTCTAAAATTGTTAATTTTTAATCTGTGAATTCATCCTAATTTTGAAGGTAGTTGACAAAAATACCCTACCCTTACAAAAATCTCTTGAATCCTACTAATATTATAATTGCGAAAGTTTGTGAGTGTGTGTGTATGTTTGTTACTTTTTCACGCTCAAACGGCTGAATCGATTTTGATAAAATATTGTATACATGAAGCTGACGTCCAGGAATAACACATAGGCTACTTTACATCCCGGAAATCCGAGGGTAACACCGCGGGGTACAGCTAGAATAAATATAAAACTAATACTTATTACATTTAAACATCCCAAATGAATAATTCCTGTAACATTCCTATAGTCTGTGACTGTGTATCATTTTCAGGTATTAATTCGACTGTAACATATTTAGCGGCTTCCAATATTTTCGAATATGAAACATTTTCGGGTGGTAGTTTGTGATGTAGCTGTGTGAAGAGAGATTTGGCGCAGTCGAAATGAAAGATGAGAGGATCCATTATATCCGCCAGGTCAGAGAGTTTCAGAAGACAACACAAATGGGCCAAGGTCACGCAGAGCTGTACATAATAAAGTAAATACTAAATTAACACGGAATAATTAGTATGAATATTAATTTTAAAATAATTTTATATCAACTGTAACTTGTTATATAACCATAGATAATTATTGTATTATAGTTTAATGTTTAATATCCATATACACACAATTTTTTTTAAATGATAAATATTCTCGAAAAGATGTATTACAGATTATATAAATTTACTAAACATTTTAAGCATTATAGTCTGTGCTTTTAAAAGCTAGGTTTAAAGAAGTTTATTTCCAAAAAGAACAAAGTTCGCTCACAAAGGAAATTTTAAAAATTATAACTACAATTAAGATATTACAAATAATAAACACTAGTGATATTAAACAAGATCAGTGAAATCATCTAATATATGGGTTCTTAAAGGCTGTATATTATAATACATTATTATTACCTGTTCAACCAGATTATCCTTATGCCTGTATTCAGTGTAATCGTCAACGTTAGCCGCATTTTCCATGGCCGCCATAACCCCCCTCCATAAAATGCCATAGTATTGACCACAATGCGCACGCGACACTCTCAATGCGACCGCCGCTGTTATCCTTACTTTGAGATTCTTACAGTCTTGGGTCAATGAACACAGCTTTGGGAAGACTTTGCTCTGTTGAAATAGATGTTATTACTTAATATAATCGGATAGTTAAGCCTAATTTATTTGTACTTATTATATGAAAGTCCTTCATAGAGTCTTCATAGAGTCTAATTACATATGAGAATGTTGTCAGTTTCATTGTATTTAATACAAAAAACAAGGGAAAAAATATAAATATGAGAAAAATATTATGTAATAAACTAAATTAGATCAATGTTGAACTAATACATGCATAACTAATACATACATAATAATTTTAATTCAAATAATATGATAGATTCATCGACATCAACAAGATTCGAATTTGGAACACTTCGAAATCATGTTCCATTTGCTATGATAATATACATGGTGTTACATATTATCATTATTATTCAATATACATGGTGTTGTTAATATAAAACCTCTTTACCTGCCATCCGTTAAAGCACGTGAACAGGTCGTCGTTCTTCATACAGTTCCCGAGGGCGTGACAGGCGTTCCACCTCACCTTCATGTTGGTTCCTTTACAAGCGCAATCCAAAAGCTTCTCTATAGCCGTCTCGCATAAGGTCTTTAATTGCGGATATCTTTGTATATTTTTATTTTTGATCAAACGCAACAGATTGCCGAGGCCGCGTGTGGCGCTCATTTTGACCTAGAAACGTTTATGGTTGATATAATTATTTTGGTTTTATTTTATTTCTATACAGGGTGACTGGTGAATTACTATCAATATTTAAGGAGAATACTCGGTACATGATTCTCATTCGAATTGTGTAAAAAAAATAGGCACTTAATTTTTGACAAAATTTCCGTATAAATAAATAAAGTGTGGACACGTCCCAAGTGTTCCAAGTGTGGACGCGTGCGGCGGCGTGCTGATACAACACCACGCCGCCGCACGCGTATTTGTGTGTGTATACCTAATCTGTAGGGTGTTCACACGATGTGTAATTAATTACATAACTTTTGGTTAACTTTTCTTAGAAGTTTATTAATATTTATGTTATATTAATCTCACCAAAAACATACCTGTTAAAAAGGGGGCCAAGTTCCAATCGGCTAATTGTTTGCCTAAAAAAGGGGTGAAATCCAATCTAATGCCAAGTTTAGATGCACTTTGAAATCGATCATAATCATCTTCATCAACAGCATGATTCACTGGTAAACATTTGCCATTCCCAAGACTCGCCACCACACCCAGTCCTCTGCCTTCCACATCCAGCCACTACCCGCCACCTTATTCACGTCAACGGTCCATCTGGCCGAAATTCACTTTACCATACACCCAACTTAAAATATGGTATAGTTGTGAAAATACGTAGGTGCTTGGTTAAAAATAACTAAAATTATAATACTTCTCAATTTGAACTTGGCAGGTTTTTGTGCTGTACATAGCACTTAATTAATTGTATCATTAATTTATTATTTAGTTATATAATTATTTATATTTATATTATTTAAATATTATATAATTTAAATAATTAAATTAACCTGCCAAGTTCAAATTTAGAAGTATTATAATTTTAGATATTTTTAACCAAGCACCTACGTATTTTCACAACTATACCACATTTTAAGTTGGGTGTATGGTAAAGTGAATTTCGGTCAGATGGACCGTTGACGTGAATAAGGTGGCGGGTAGTGGCTGGATGTGGAAGGCAGAGGACTGGGTGTGGTGGCGAGTCTTGGGAATGGCAAATGTTTACCAGTGAATCATGCTGTTGATGAAGATGATTATGATCGATTTCAAAGTGCATCTAAACTTGGCATTAGATTGGATTTCACCCCTTTTTTAGGCAAACAATTAGCCGATTGGAACTTGGCCCCCTTTTTAACAGGTATGTTTTTGGTGAGATTTCAATACTTTTTTTCAAGAAATCGTACATACAATTGTACTATACAGCCGTACAATGCATAACTTACAGCATGAAACATACAGCTACCATCTGATGGCATAGGAATTACCCTTTGTGGTATATCTCCGCCAACCACCGAAAGATGTACAATTTCCATCGTTGGTAAATGAATAGTAAAAAAGAAATAGAGTGAATTTGTGCTTTTAACACACACAAGTTAAATCAATCAATAAGCAATATCAAAATTAATCCTTTAGCAAGTCAAATCAGTGATCCATTTAATCGTAATCGTAACCATATATAAGATATCAAGACATAAGTGTAGAAAGAAATAGAAAGAAATGACCATCGATTCCTTATCGACTTTCATTCATATATACTGCAGACAAAACAATATCGTGATTCAATTATACCGCTAGCGCCATCTATCGAAAGTAATTTATAACAATAGAAACCTGATTTTTTAGGTAAGCAATATTTAATTAAATTATACAGTGTGCATTATGTATACATGACAATATTTTATATCCCTTATATATATGTATATCAGTTCTTAAGAAGCGCCCCACACTTTTTTCACAATAATATTAATTTAAAAATAAATTAACAAACAATAAATGGTATTTTTGTGAAAAAAAGCGTGATGAGCTTCATATATGACTTCTTGAGAAGCGCCCCACGCTTTTTTTTCAATAATACCATTTATTGTTTATTTTAAACAATTTAAATTAAATTGATTTCCAAGGTTGTAAAGGTTAAATTAGTTTCCACGCGGTTTCTTTCATCATTGGAGCGTGTTTTTTAGTTTTTTTTTAAACTATATTTATTTTTTATTTTTTAGTTTCATTTATCACCGATTGATAGATGTACTCATATTATTAATTATTAATATTTCATTATTATGTATTTTATTGTGCTGAGCTGCGCGCCTATATAAAGGTTTTGATTACCTGTCAGTGAGTCAGTGCCAAAATTAGCTATTTTCACAGGGTCATATTTCAGGATCTACTGAAGCTTTATCTATGAAATTTGGCATACTGCTTTAGGACTAGTATATAATTACGTAGGTACAATTTTATCTCTGTACTTGCAATAGACACTGAGCTACAGGGGGTCAAAAGTGGGTCGAATTTATTAAAAATTCGATATTTAGAATTGAGGCAACTCACGCTTGACCGATTTCTTAAATTTCTTAATTTTTTGTTAATCTACATATAACACACAACCTGTGTACCAAATTTCATAATGCTAAAACAATGGGAAGTGGCCTAGAGGTTTTGATTACCTGTCAGTGAGTCAGTGCCAAAATTAGCTATTTTCACAGGGTCATATTTCAGGATCTACTGAAGCTTTATCTATGAAATTTGGCATACTGCTTTAGTTCTAGTATATGATTAGGTAGGTAAAATTTTATCTCTGTACTTGCAATAGGCACTGAGCTACAGGGGGGTCAAAAGTGGGTCGAAACGGTTCGTGTAAATATAGTGCACGGCATGCGCCGGCCTGTGGAACTTGGCCGGCGCACTACCGTGCGCTTAGATTTTTATTTTGTCATATATGATCGTCAAGTATCGATAGTAATTCACCAGTCACCCTGTATATGTATTACCTTCAGCAACTATAAACTTATAAAACACTGTTTTAAATTTATATATTACATATGATTTCACTATACAGCTGCTATTAGGATAATTTTACCTTCAATTTATCTAACAAATACTATTTATAATGAAGCTTGGCTATTTTTTGTTATAAATTATGTTGATTATGGATAATTATTGTTTAATTATGGACTGGTCCCATATATATACTAATTCGAACCCTACAAATCCAGGTAATTCAAGTACAAACATATATTGACATTAGTTTATTTGTGATTTCTGTAGCTTGAACAATTGATCCTCTATTGATAATTTAAGAATGAAGTTGACAGAAACTAGATATGATAATTAAATATTGCTCTAGAATCATCCACTGCGTAAAAATAATAATTTATTTTTGGCTCATTTACTTTTCGTTTTAATATCATATAAATATTTATTTAACCTAAACATGTATTTCTCATTAATTAATTATATTTTATTACGACGATACGCACCCCAAAAACTTATTACACTTTGATCTCAAGATACTCGTATGTTACATTTATACTACGCCGAAAATTACTATATAATAAGAGGTACACTATTCTGTGGCTAAGTTGTATTGAGGAACAGTCTTTCTGTTTGATACATTTAGTTAAAGAAAACGGTTACTGAAAAGTGGCCGAAACGGGAGTATGTAGTTTATTATCAAAAATAAATAGGCGAAGTAAAATCCGAAAATATTAGTTTCATTTAAATGAGTACTCGCGAAAATCTTAGATCTCATTATTTAGTTAAAGAATTGTTTGTGAAAGATTGCGATATACGTTTATCCGCTTGTTCGTGTTTTTGGTATAGGCCAGTGTATCTTTGTCATAATATTTACCAACCTTATCATTATCATCCGCACACCTCACGCTGACCTCAAGCAGACGGAGCAGCAGGTCGTCATCTATATCGTCGATATCCGGGTCTTCCCTGGGTAAATTAGAAACAAAATTACTACATACATATATATATTGTATTGGCAATAAAAAGTAGAATAACAAAACTTAGGCTAATGAAAGCAAAAAAAAAGGACGTAGGTTTTGGCAGGAAATTACGTAGCACAGACATATGTATATGTATATAATTATGATGTTTAGATTTTCTTTTTTTATAACACAAACTGAGAGAAGACATAATTCCAGAGGCCATAACTTTTATTTTAATTTTAAAAAGCGATTCGTTTACTTTTAATATATTTTAAAATTTGTAACAACTATTTCATAATACATAAATTTTACAGCCAAAATATTATCGATACTCAAAAAAATTTTGATATATTTCTTTTTGGTTTTCAGTTGTATTTATGTGCATTATTTTTATGTAACGTAACAACTATTTTTAGTACCAAACATTGTTGACATTTCGGGCATGTCAAGATAATTATTGTTTATGTTTGTCTGACGAAAATATCTCGTTCAATTAAATAGTATGACGATATTTTTAAAGCAAACAGAATCATCAGTTCCAATCAGACAAATTCAACTGCAATAAACAACTATCACAACTAATTTATCTATTGTGTCAGTCAAGACATCATTTTAATATATCTATGAAACATTTGAATGATGCGTCAAAGTCCAATCAAGTGTGGGCTCGGCAGCTATTATTAAATGACCCTGACTTTATTACTATCATACTTTCAGGATAGTGACGTAATAATTTTCTATTCAATACGATGAGCTAAATATGTATATGAATTAATAGATTATTTGCTTGTGATATTTTTATAATAACTTTTAACTACATACAATATAACATGTGTTAAAGAAACAGCTGATTTCATAGTCTGTGGTTTTAGACTTATTGAGATTTAAATTGTAATTTGATATCCTCATAGACCTCTCAAATTTATATTAGATACAATTCAGTCAGTTGCAAAATTTTACATCGTCATACTACATATTAAAAGTTTTCTCTTTTCTCATTAGTTAACCTACGTTTTACTACAATGCGCAAACTATAAAGCTTGTATGTATGTATTTATATTCAGTGTGACTTTACATTTCTTGTATGTACTGTTTATCAAGGTTTTGAACCTATGCACTGACTGTATTCTGCACTAAACCACCTATATACTAACTTCTTTAACTACAGCAATCTATTTATTTACTGACACTTCACTTCTATCTTCACTATTATCTAGAGTTAATTGGAAAAACCTTCGCGATATAATTACACAAGGTACGTGAATTTATACAATAATATAAACTGTAAAATTTTAAGTTCTAGTCAAGTGAGTTGGAAACTTTAATACTGATACCATTCCATATTATACTAAGTTGTTGAGTTCAAACAAAAGACTGTATGTACGTTTCAGATAAAAATATAATAGAATATTTCAGTATTGTCATACTAACATGTTCAAGACGAGTGCGTCGCTCAAGTTGCCCAGCGCCCAGGCAGCCTTCGTCCTCACCACCGCTGTAGGTTCAGCCAACGCTCGTAAAATATTCTCACCACAGTCACTCACGAAACAAATATCCTATATAAGGAAAATATATTATATATGTTATTACAACCAACATTTATATGTCTTGTTTTGAAAATAAAACAATACTTTGGATTTCCATTCTAACTGCAACGCTTTAAAGTTTAAAGAACTGGAATTTTTGTCTTGTATATAAAAGCAGTAACTTCAACGAAGTAATTGAAGTTTTGACTGTTATCACATTAATATTATGGCAGACAAAGCCTCAATACTAAAGTTTTGTAAACAAGAATGGAATAAACCACTGATGATATTATAGTTTAGTCTGAAAATGAGCACACAACATACAAACGCCCACAAACACGCTTAAAACAACCAATTCTAGATGGAAAACAATCTCACATGTCTACTTTGTCTATATTGATTTACAAATAAAAAGCTGAATAATTAATTATATTATTAATTGCATGAGGATGGGAACTTACACACACACGAGTATGAGCACCTTTACAATAGTAGTATCTACATACATACTTTAGCCCTACTAATATTATAAATGCGAAATTAATTCTGCCTGTCTGTCTGTTACGCTTTCACGCCTAAACCAGTGAACTGATTTTAATAAAATTTGGTACAGAGATAGAGTTGACCTTGAAAAAGAACATAGGATCGTTTTTATGCCAAACTTTTGAAAGGTTCTCTTGGAAACGCGATAGACTCGAAGTCCACGTGGGCGAAGCTGCGGGCGGAAAGCTAGTACTTTATATATATACATGTATATATAACTTATAATTCCGAGCTGACCTCTCTCAGCGTGCGGTACATGACGGTCATAGCGAGCGACCTGACGGCGGCCGCCCGCACGCCCGCCTCCTCGTCACCACACGAACCTACCAGCAGCGCGCAGCACACGCGCTGGCTGCGATCCTGGAAATATTAGGAGAAACTCTTTACTAGCTATATATATATATAAATATATATATATATATATATATTTATATATATATATATATATATACATATACAGGGTGACTGGTGAATTACTATCAATATTTAAGGAGCATACTCGGTACATGATTCCCATTCGAATTATGTAAAAAAAATAGGTACTTAATTTTTGACCAAATTTCCGTATAAATAAATAAAGTGTGTACACGTTCCAAGTGTTCCGAGTGTGGGCGCGTGCGGCGGCGTGCTGATACAACAACACGCCGCCGCACTCGTATGTGTGAGTGTGTAGTGTAGAGTAATCTGTAGGGTGTTCATACGATGCGTAATTAATTACACAACTTTTGGTTAACTTTACTTAGAAGTTTATTAATATTTATGTTATATTAATTTTTATTTCGTCATATATGATCGTCAAATATCACGTCCTCAAATATCGATAGTAATTCACCAGTCACCCTGTATTATGTTTAGATGATTGGAAATCGAGGGGGAGATTTTCTAGACCGAATTCTAAGTCTGCAAGATTTTTTTAGACAGACCAAAATTTTTTTTTTTTTACTTAAGTACGAGTACAAGTTAATTTTTTTCATCGCTTCATTTAATAATGTAGAAAAAGACAAAGGACCTCAACTTTACAGACTATATAATTTTAATTGATAAGATATATTATTAAATATATTCACCGGTATTTGTTTGAAGCATTTCTCGCCGATGTTAGCGATACAATCGCACACGACAGCCTTAGCGGGAGCGTTGTCGTGGTTCTGTAGTACTAGCGATAAAGGCGTCAATAGAGTCTCCCACATGTACACACACTGACTTAGTGGCGGGGATAGATCTTGCTGTTCTGAAGGGTAGTGTGATATTAGATCTTATATGTAGAAGAAAAAGTAAACATTAATACATTTTCTGGGCTGCCATATAATATTTACAATGAAGATTATTTTAAATGTAGTGTATTAGAAGTAAAATACTATTTAATTACAAGATTATTTCATACTATCGGTATGATTTATGAAACTTCCGAATTAGATACATACAAATATTGACAGCACATATATTTGATATTATTATTCGTTTTTAGTATTTTCTAACTACAATACCTAATTTCTGCAGCGCGTCACCAATGATACTTATAGTTCTAGCAGCCTGCAATACAACATCTTGGTGTTCGTGTTTCAACATCTCTTTCAATATGTCACCAAGTAACATTATGTGTGACGATAGGAAATCTGATAGATGATGGAACGCGATCGCTGATAGAACTTGAAGAGATTCCAGAATAACAGGTATGGTTGACGGCTTGCATCTCTGGAATAAAACGAAAAATACGTAATTAAAACGTTATTAAATAAAACATCTGTATTTTTCTTCTGACCGTACGACTTATATGAAAATTAAGATAGTTATATTGATAAAACTTTAGGCTCCAACGGGGATATCCGCATAGAATTTTTCATCAGAATACTGTTTCCTAATATATATGTTATGTTCACGAATTCCACTATTTGGATATGTAGAATGTATTTTATATAAATAAGTTTAAAAAAAATCAATCAAATACATAGTTGAATATAGTCCATATTAGAAATATGGCATATACTCACAACAACTTCATTACTCTTAAACAGCCATCCCATATTTTTAAAACAGATATCCAGAATCCAACTCTTGAACATATATTTATCCACTTCTTCACTCTTATCACTAATCGTTTCTGTTGTGAACATTTCATCATCAGAGTATCCTTCTTCGAAATCATCGCATTCATCATTCAAAGACACATTTTCCTTATTTAATATATTTTGTTGCGACTTATTAGACACTTGGTCCTTTTCCATAGCCTGTAATATTTCCTCTACTTTGGGATCAACTGACAGGACACATCCAATTGTAACCAAGGACGCTACTTGTAGAGTTACATCTGAAATATATCAAACACAATCCTACTAATACTATAATTGCGAAAGTTTGTATGTATGTACATATGTTTGTTATTTCTTCACGCTCAAACGGCTGAACCGATTTCGATAAAATTTTGTATACAGGAAGCTGACGTCCAGGAATAACACATAGGCTACTATACATCCCGGAAATCTCAGATTCCCCTAAATCCGCGGGTAACACCGCGGGGCGCAGCTAGTAACTCCATAAAATTGAACTACCCCTATAACAAAATTAAACTTAATTATATTGTATAGTATAATTTATACCAACCTCTATGGACTAAGTACTTTCTAGTGGATCTAACAATACCACTTATAAGACCCTCCTGCATTTTATGATAAGGAGTCGCTTGTACTAACGCGGCGGCACACTTCAACGCTACAATGATCACCGCGTGGTTCCGCTCGCATTCCAGAATAGTTATCAGAATTTTATGCAAGCACGTTATGATATATCCCAATGAGACGGAAAACGGAATAAATGATGTGTTTTTCTTGCTGTAATATAGAATTTAATTATTATGTAAGTATGATAATATTTTGAACAAGTTGCGTCCGCGACTCCGTTTTCGCTTCAATGTTATTTTTTATAAATAAAAGTACGGTATGTCATTCCTTAATAGTACTTCAGTTACCTGCGAGTAAAAGTTTTGTTAAAATCGTTGCAACCATTTAAAAGATTAGCCGAAACAAACAGATAAATAGACCGAAATTATAAAAAAAACGTTATTATTGTGTATGTAGCTTGTATACATCAAAAAGCGTCTTATTAAATTATTCTTAAGGACGTTCCTCATATTATATAAGCATAGTTAGAGATCTTATGTCTCAGATATCTTTGAGTGATAATGAGCATTTACAATCAGTATTTTCATAAAATCTCTTGCCTGGTTTCAGCTTGTGCCAAATAACTTCTAGATCCAGATAATAAAGCTAGTATCACACTGAGAGCACTTGCTCTGCTAGACGCTACTGGGTCTACGACTGCACAATAGGCTAATGTCTTTTTTGACTTTTCCTCTCCAAGCCAGTTATCAACTGGACAATCTGGTAAGAGTGCCCACCAATATCCAAATGTATCACGTTTTTCCTTTATCTACAATAATTATTACTATGAATTTAAAATAAAAATAAAATTAAGTATACAAGGTGACTGGTGGATTACTATCGATATTTGAGGACGTGATATTTGACGATCATATATGACAAAGTAAAAATTAATATAACATAAATATTAATAAAGTTCTAAGTAAAGTTAACCAAAAGTTATGTAATTAATTACGCATCGTGTGAACACCCTACAGATTAGGTGTACACACACACACACACACATAGGCGTTTGGCGGCGTGGTGTTGTATCAGCACGCCGCCGCACGCGTTCACACTGGGAACACTTGGAACGTGTACACACTTTATTTATTTATACGGAAATTTGGTCAAAAATTAAGAACCTATTTTTTTTTTACACAATTCGAATGAGAATCATGTACCGAGTATGCTCCTTAAATATTGATAGTAATTCACCAGTCACCCTGTATATGACGAATTAATATTAATTGTTAATGTGTATTCTGTGAGGATTTTTTTACATTTAACACTCTAGATTACAGGTGTTAAATATGTAATTATAGTAGCTGAATTTTATGTGTGAGTTAAGAATGTTTGAATCTTTAGCTCCTAACTTCCTTTATTTCTAAACTTCCGTTTCATAAAATCCCTATATTTTTTACATTAATACACAGATAACAATGTTTATATATATGTATATATATATATGTATATATAGGGTGACTGGTGAATTACTATCGATATTTGAGGACGTGATATTTGACGATCATATATGACAAAATAAAAATTAATATAACATAAATATTAATAAACTTCTTAGTAAAGTTAACCAAAAGTTATGTCATTAATTACGCATCGTGTGAATACAATCGTGTAATTACAAAATCATAATATACCCATACCTTGAAGACAACAAGAAAAAGATTTGCTGCACTTTGCCTTACTCTTGATCTTAGAGCGATTAGTTTAGCTTCCCTACCATTTTCCATATCTGACAAATCACTGTCACTCGTTAAAATCCAACTGGATCTAGGCTTCTGTGGCTCCAAGTAATTGCTGGCTGGTTTATATGAACTATCAAAGCTTTTGACATCCTTCATTAAACTGTGATCTGATACAGGTATTTCTTTCTTTAGACTTTCGATAGCATTGTTCCTGTGTTTTCGGATCTTTTGTTTCTGGAAAATAAAATTATTTTAAATTAAAATTTAAATTACAAAAAAGAATCTATGCTGAAAGCATGAAACAGGATTGAAACCAGCAACCTCCACGATATGTTATTCCTGTTTCTTATAGTTTAATTATTTAAACAATTTTGTTTTTTATTTAAATATTAGCAAAATTTGTAGTGAATTATATTATATTAGCTTTCCGCCCGCAGATTCACCCGCGTGGAGTTCGGTTTTATCGCGTTTCCAAGAGAACATTTCAAAAGTCTGGGATAAAAACTATCCTATGTTCTTTCTCAACATCAACTCTATATCTGTACCAAATTTTATTAAAATCAGTTCAGTGGTTTAGGCGTGAAAGAGTAACAGGTAGAGTACTTTTGAATTTATAATATTAAATAGTAGGGATAAATTACATTTTTGATAACTTTGAAAATTTAAGGATCATTATTATAATTGTAGATTTATATATGATTTTCATACTTTCCCTCCTTTAGGTTGTATTTTCACAGGTTCAGCTGCTATAGTTTGCTGAGATGGCATAATTCTTTCAGGACGTCCTTGTACTATAAGAGCATATAGAATGAAATGCCGGCATATACCTATAATCTCTGGCATTGATAGGTTCACTTTGGAGTCATTAAAGTATATGTAAGATAGAACTCTCAAGCCAGATATCACAACCTAAAACACATTGAAAAATATTAAACATAGTCATTAATGTTCAGCAATAAACACTTAATTACCCTGTACTTTACATATACAAAATAAAACAGATTTGATATAAGTACTAACATGTAACTAATTACAACTAATAAAAATTGCAAGCATATAATAACATAATAATTGACTTACTTTGCAGTACATAGACTCGTCTTGAGATTTAGAATAATCTTTCATTAGAAATTCAATAACAACTTGTGTTAAATATTCCTTAATAACTAAGCCTATGTATTTTTCTTCATTAAATTTATTTTCATCAATGGTTAACAAGCATGAGATACATTTCAGTGCTATCAAAGATATTTGTAATGAATTTTGTTTATTCATATCCCTTTGCTTCACATTGTTTATTATACTTACAAGGAGGCCATGGTTACCAATAAGTTCATTAATAAACTGAAATTTAAATAAAAGTAGGTGAAAGATGATTAATAAAAGTAGGACTACAAGTAACCAAACATATTATAATAATTATAAAATAATAAAGTTATATTCAGTGTTAAAAATGTAGACAAAATCTTAAATAAAAAATGGTTTGGATATTAGAGTTTATATTGGTTATAAAAAGTTACAAACCTTACTACCACTTTGTGGGTTTGTTTGCAATATACACTGGAGGTTATGCAGAATATCAGGTAATATGATATCTGAACATGTTTTTATGCATTCAATATGCCAAGCTACTACTTTAAATAAGAAATCATAGCCAAATTTAAGGTTCTGTTTGGTAACTAGACTGTTTATCAAATGTGATGTTTTAGTTGACAGAAACTCATCAACAGGCTTGATATTGAAACATAATGAGGTCACCAGGGCAGCTGCATCCTGAAACAATAGTCCTGATTTAATTTTCTGTAAAGAAATTAATATTATTTCAGTTTTATTAACTTTACCTCTTTGCGCACAAACAAATTTGAATTATAAGGCTTCGCATTAAGTTCATCTATTAAAGCGTTTATGTCGCCTTTATCATAATCTTTTAAATATAAATGACTACAGAGTTCTTCAGAGAGTTGTGAGAATTGCTCGAATACATTCATTTTCCCATTAGGTTTATTGTTATGGTATTGAAATTATTTATATGTATAATTCTCTCTAACTCTTTATAAATGGTACCAGTTAGGGAATTTGAAGAGTTTAAGTTTATAAATTACAGCACTTTAAAGTAACATGTTTTCATTACTAATATGTCCTGACAACTCGAAAAGACAGATGTCAAATTTGAAAAACTGTCACGAAATGTAAATTGTCAAAATGTAAAGAATTTATAAGATATCTAAACTCCTTTCAAAGTCATCTCAACATGCATATTAAATTCTGAAACTTCTGAAATTCAACGATCAAATGGAAAAAATTACCAAAAACTCTATACCACACAGAGATGACATTTAGTGATTTTCATATTCTAATGTTTTGATATTAAACTATTAGGGTAAACGTATCAGTAACTACACTTTACTTCTTACCTTTGACACCTGTACCGAGGTGAGGTCTGAATTCAAACAGCCTGCACTTATAAATATCTCGTTTTCTAACAATTCTTGAGTAAAAAAAGAATTTGTGAAAATATAACATACAATTTAAGTAAATATATATCCCTTCAAGAGTATTATCTTTCGTTTAAATGGATGGAAATTAAATGAAAATATTCTTTAGATAATTTATAAAAATGGAATAGCTTCTAAAAATAGATAACTTCAAAAAATAATAACTATAATCAAACATAAAATAAGTGGAGGTGCGGAAAGCAGCTAAAAAAAATATTTAAGCATTTATTATTTATGAATGTCTTTTCTCCTCAATATATTATTATGTCTGGCACTGATAGCAAACAATAAGACTTATTAAGGTTATTGGCTACATATTTTTAAGAAAAGCTTTATATGGTTTAGAACACATACTATAATAACTTGTTTAAAACTTTTGTTTGCGCCTTATTTAGTATTTTTTAAAAGACCCGTTCCTCCGCTATATTTATTGACTCTTTGATATAGGTACCTAATACTATTCACAAAAATAGAAATTAAATACATACTTAATAAAAGTTCATTTTAAAAATTCCATTATTAAAAAATATATTTATTGACTCAAAAAATTGATAATGTCAAAAATATTGTTTGTAAAATAATGTCCATATGGCACTATAATTTTAGTTTTTAATTTTATTATGGCTTTAATAACAACGAATGTAAATAATGAAAGAAGGCGTCGATTATACCATCCATGGGAAAAACTAATAAAAAATGTTCATCGAGACAATTTCCACCAAGCTCATAACTCAGTAAATAATCCAGAATATCCTGAGAAAAAAGTTGAGATACCCAATGAAGACCGTGCTAGGTTCAAAATAATTGGCAATAGAGTGACGAAGGAGTTTATTTACTGTGAGAAACTCCTTAAAGACTTACATAAATATCGTAGGAGAGTATTTGACGCTCCCGAAATTCGTGGTAAGTATTACTAAAACATGGGATTTTATGAGTATGTTAGTGACGCAAGTATTAGTCTAGAAAAAATATATTTTAGGGGTCACGACGGTGGAATGGCCGCAAGTATGGAAGGATATTAAAATAAAATATGGTGAATTAGCTTATTGTCTACAGAGCCAAGTCGCTGTTATTCTTAACGATAATTTTCTTGGCGGTGAAAACGAATTAAGAGAAGTCATTGAGTCAAGATACAACTACAAATTAGATGTAGATTATTATAAGGAGGGCGTCAACAATTTTGTTGATTTTATCAGAATTTCTGGAGTAAGTTAGGTTTAATTTTTTAATATATTTTTTATTGTCCTAAATATTAGTTTGACGTTCGTTTTTGTGTCCTTGTAATAATTCATAAACTGGAAGACCCAACAATTTTATAAAATTTATCTTCAATTTCGATAAAACTGTAGGTATTCGTATATTATAATGACCTCATGGTCAAAACCATTTGTGACTTAATAGTTTAATTTTACTCAAACGATTTACAGAGACCCTGCGTTTACATGCATATAACCATAAATTTTGTATATGTAGGAACGTTAATTTTTATGGTAAGTCAGATTTTAAGCTAATCTAATTCTTATAGCATAATTTGCGTGTTATTTCCATGCATTTTCTTGTTAGCTTTATTCAGATATAGTACCATACACTTGCGAAAATTTCCTACGCCTATGTCAAACAAACAAGGGCGGCTATAAAGGAACTCCCATACATCGCATCGTTAAAGATGGCTGGATACAATGCGGAGGTTTTGGTCTTAAATCCACAGATTTGGATTGTGAAAACTTTATTGTACCTCATGACAGGCGAGGTGTTCTATGTATGGCTAACGATGGACGGTAAATATATGTATAGTGACGTATACATATTTTACAGCTTATTCATTTCTTATTTCTCAATATTTCCATAATTTTAAGGCATAAAGACTGCTCAACGCAATTTTTTGTGTTACTCCAACCGGCGCCTTGGATGGCTCACAAATATGTAGCGTTCGGCCAGCTTATTGACGGAGAGTCAACGTTGAACAAGATCGAATCTGTTCCAACTTTCTATGAATCACCAGACTGTTGTATATACATTCAGGATGCTGGAATTTTAAATTTAGAATGCCACGATATAAGAATTAACAAAAATACCAACGAATATATAGATGGCCACATAGAAGATTTGAATTTATTAGGTGATCTGTTGTACGAGGTGATTTGTATTACAGCTATTTGTAATCTACTATTAAACTTATGTATGTATGATCATAAAATGTTTATCTACATAGAATTTAATGGAGAGACTTTTCTTGGAACTGGAACTGCGACTCATAGCAAAAGAAGAAATGGAAGGAGAAGGTGAATCGAAGGAATTAAAAGACGACGGAAAAAATATACGCGCCACTGAAAGGTATCATTATTAAATCAGTAATAAACCTTTTTATTATTAGGGTGAATACGATTAATTTTTATTATTCCATAAAGGTTTATTCGTAAAAAAGAAGAAATTGAAAAGTTACGGACGAGTCAGTTAACAACGAGCAGAGCATCATCTATGGTCAGCGAAGCACATCAAGTTAATAATGATTTTGACGTTGAAGTATACGAATATGAGCCAGAAGAATCCTCGTACCAGCACGTGTCCTTGAAAACGGAGAGCTTAGTCGTGAAACCGGAGAAACCGTACTACATAGCACTCACAGATGTCCCTTATCCCGGTGAAGTGGATTCCAACTATGACTTAAAGAAGTCAGTACTTCACACGTTAAGAAACTTACCATTACAAGGAACTTTAACATTAACTGGAATACCTTTACAGATTTTTGAAAGGCGATTATTGCCTCGAAAGTGACCTGCAAAACCATCCTCCGAAGAAGATAATAGCGAAACACTTATCTTTTGTGTCCGAGATGTATCAGTTTGATATAGAGTCTGAAGTAACCTCGGGTAAGAATCGAGATTTTGATTGGGTATAACAATAATGAAAAATCCATTTAGGTATTGACTTCATTAAGTTGTATGTTATTATAACGTTTTTTTTGTTAAAACATAAGGTTGTTTTTACCAACTTATTTTAAAAGAAGTCAGATAAATTTATAAAATACATATATAAAGTACAAGATGACTGTCTAATTCGCTACTTTATTACATTGTTGGCATTTTTACGGTCTAATTAAATAATAATTAATTATATGCTAATTCAATTCATCGAAAATATATAAAGGATAACCATAAAACTTATTTCAGTCGAATCGTTGTCAGAAGACGATGAACAAGAAATCAAAAGATATATTAAGTAAGATGGATATCTTTTTTATTTTCTTTAATTTCATAGATATTATTTGTAACCATGATTTTTTTCTGATTCAGGCTTAATGTAGACCGAGTGAGTTTCGCTGGTGGTGTAATAAGAAACATAGCAAGGGGCTATGGAAAATATAATCTTTTTGAAGGTACCAGAAAGTAAGTATTAGTAGATATTTTTAATATTCTTGTGAATACATATTCGATTTTTTAATGGAAGTTACGTATATCTATATCTTCAGATCGGAACTAATAACTGACGAAGAGCTTAGAAGATTTAGGTACGAATTTATTTTTTGTATAGTAAAACTCATAATTTCTCTTTAAACAATTTTATAATTTTTATAGACTAGCCTCCATGGATCATCGTGCAAAGGAAGGGAATGAGAAGTAAGATTTAATTAAGTATCGATTACAAAATACCTATCTGATTTTTGTATATATTTTTTTTCTTTTATTTATTTTTTTTAATAGAAAAGTCTCATTAAGCGTGCCAGCCTATAGAAAAGAACCTATGAAAATAAAAAGGAGGCAAACTGGTTTTGTTAGAATGGAAGACTTAGAAAAAATACATTCAAAATATAAAATAGGTATGGACGAACACGCCGAACATGAAGAAGACGAATTTGTGTCTCGGTAAAAGTTTGAATGTTCATGTGCAAAATGTATATAGTGAAATAAAACATACATTCTAAATACATAAACCAGTTTCTCGAGTTATTTATATGATTATTCATCTTTATATTTATTCAAACTCTTCAATTTCTATTAGAAATCTTACAAGAAACCATACAATCGCCTTCAGATAATAATCAAAATAATTGACTATACATATAAACTTATAATTAAATCTATTCATAGCAAAGTTCGTATAGCGGAATCAGCTATTGCCACCCAGACTGGAACGAAACCAAATCGTAGACCAACGGGTTTTGTGAGAGCCACAGAACTGACTGAGTCTGATACACAAGTCAGAAGACAATCTGCCCTTACGCGGCTGTATGATAATATAGCTATTGAAGACGAAAGTGCCATCACGCTTAAGGATTACAAGTATGTTAATCTTAATCATTAGTAGAATGTGTTTAATATACAATAATAATATTTTTTCTTTAGACCAGCTACGAAAGTGTCGCAGAAGAATTTCCTCTTTACGGCATCACCATTGAATCGTGTGAAATATTACGAGGAATATTCAAAGGAGTCCCATTTCCGACCGTCCATCACGGTGGACAACACCTCCTACGAGCAAGTACTTAATATACAGCACGGGAGAAAGGCAGCGAGAAAAATATCGTCGGATTACGTAAAAACAATCGATCAGATTGAGCAAAGGATTGAGAATTCCATACGAAGTATCGAGTTCGCGAAAACACGGCCTTCTATGACGGTCAGCGAGTACCAACAAAAGAATCAAAAATATAGCAATGAACTGGCGAAGAAGAGTGGTTAATATGAAATTCATAATATTAGATAGAGATGCTAATAAAATTCGAGTTTAAAACTATTTGCTTCCCTTAATGTCGATTTCATATGAGACGAAACTGCCTGGGTATAGGTATGATTAGCTTGTTTATATCCAGTTGTGAGAATATTCCTAATGTTATCAACATGTTTTTTTTGAATTCATTAAATTTCGAGTCTAGTGTTATATGTATGTACGGTTCTTTTCCGTTTATATAATTATGCTTTCCTTACGTTGCAGAATCGTTACACGGATTACGTTTACCTGGCGATACACCACTCTATTCCATGAGTGACGTAAGTCATTTTAAATTTGAACCATTTTCTATTAATTGAATTCAAGTAATAATTTCATTAATCTAAATTTATTTTGACCGCAATCGTAATCGGAACTTTTTTAACCCTTTAACCGCCTGACTTCATATCAGTTGTAACCCCAGCGCTTGGTACAGTGAAGCAATAACAAGGTACCTCAAACAACTAGGGATGTACAAGGCTAGTTTTCAAGATTGACATTTCATGACAATATAAGAAAGAGGCCTTATCAGTGGGCTCTGATAGGCTAATGACGTTAACATATATCTATGTAATGCAAAAGCAATATAATTGTTTTTGCGGGTGTTTGTAAAGAGAAAGATCTTAAACTATTTACTTATTTGCAATCATTTTCCACACAATCGTAGGTAAAGACTGCTGCAGATATTGATACATACATACAGAAGTTCATCAGTATCAACAGTACACAACTCCCAACGCCAAATCCACATTTTCATGAAGTCAGAAGTGGTCGTTTTTTTTACAGCTGAACTGGACTAATTAATAAACAGTAGTAGTTCCTAAACATGTAACCCATGAATCTGATCTATCGAGGCTTACATTTTTCTTTAAAATTTACTACCTCTCAAATGTTTAGAAACAAATATTTCCAATTAAGAAAATATTAATCTTTGATTAGGAGGTTCACGTGAAATAGTGAATAATGACTATTGAACTAATTAGGAATATCTTTTTAATATAATGCAGAGCCATAAAATATATAAAGATGAAACGAGCAGTGGTATATGGTCATAAATATATGACCCCGGCGGAATGGACCCGAAAATACTTGTATTAATCCGACCTAAGCGGTTAAAGGGTTAATTGTCTCATCAACAATATTTAATTTCAGGTATTTTAGTATCAATTACTATTTGTGATTTAAAAAATGTAGATTTTTTATGTAGACATGTCTCAAGTTTCAATTACATTATTGAAGAGGTACAGTTTCAGTCTTGATTCCTAATGTTCGGCGATTATTCTAGTATGTCCTTCAAAATGGCTGATGACAGTATTTATAACTTTCAAACACAAGTTGATACCCAAATGTTGCCTTTAAAAAATTAACATAAATTCAGTACTATGATTAATAATAAATTGAAAATATTGGATTTAATATATTTAGCTATATAACTTGAATTTAGTATCAGGTTCCCAAAATTTTATCCCGGCAGTATACACAGGTACAATATTTTTTTATTAATTATAATTATTATTATTATCAGTCATAAAAAAATTCTAAAGATTACTTATGATATATTATAATTACTGCGGCACAGATAGCGCCACTTGAAACATTTTATTCTTAAGTAGTATCTTGTAGATCTGAGACATCTGATATAGGACACTTTAAAAAGAGTAACGACTGGAACTAAAAAAACATACAAAAATATTAAATGTACTTTTTACAATTTCAGGTATCGAATCCAACTAACATTTAACGACGGGCTGTACTGTTATTTTGATATTTCTTATTGTATAAAATGTCCTTGTCAGTTTTCGATGAATAAAAACCAATAAAACAAAAAAAAAAAAACAATTTATTACTATTGCATTTTACAAACAATTTCCCTTCACAATATGGTAATACTACAAGGTACTATATGGCTACATAACAAGTTATGTATATCGTATTGTAACATTTATATACAAATTCATATTATTTATTAATTCAGAAATTTCTTGCAATAACGCTAAAAACATAAAAAAGTCTAGACAAAGATTTCCAACATTACTAATTCAAAACAAATGTAATAAAAAAAATTGTAGCAATATTTTATAAGACTGTCATTTAATTATTATATGAAACTTATATTGTAATGAGTCTCAACAGTTACACTTTATTATGTGATATATCATGTCCTATCTATATGTAAATCAACAAAAAGATAATGATTTCAGAAAAAATAGGCCTTACGACGTATGTGATAGAGTTAATATTCCTATGTCGATACTGCAATATTACTTTGTGTACTTAAAATCGAAACTAATTGTAGAAGACAAAAAACCAATAGAGCTAACTATCACAAATTGACTATAATCCCGCCTTGATCCAATAACATTTATAGCACCCCGTTTATTTTGTATTTGTGGCCAATTAATGGCCATGGCCGTGGCCGTGTCCGTGGCCTTGTGCAAACACACTCGATCCGTTCTGTTGTTGGCTTGGTCTGTTATTGTTGTTGTTTCCTTCAGCGTTAGTTTCGTTATTTCCGTTGCCGTTGCCAGTGCTATTTCTACTCTCGAGCTGTTGTTGCCACATCGAAGCATATACACCCTCCAATGCTAATAATGCTTCGTGGCTGCAATTAAAAAATATATATTAGCAAAACTATCACTAACATAAAGAAAAAAGGAAGACTGCACTTCAAAAATAGCATATTTACATTAATAAAAGATGTCATTATATCGATTAAGTATAAAAGATATGAGTTTAAATTGGGTTTACATTTTATAAGACAAAATTGTTTGGGTAGATTTTAAAGGTCGTGTTAGACAAATATACATATTATAATGAACTGTACTTACTTCCCTCGTTCAACAATCTCCCCATCTTTAAGTACAAGAATTTCGTCCGCGTGTATTATAGTGGATAGTCTGTGGGCTATTATTAACGTTGTTCTATTGGCGCATACACGGGCTAAGGCGGACTGAAAAAAAGGAATTATAGTCTTTAATTTTATAGAATATATATAGTACAAACTCTATATAATTGTTATTGGGTTCGATTCCAGAGCAAATATATATAACGATATTATATATATTTATTTTTACTATGCGGTTTAAAATATTTTTAGTATATTATAGAATCTTATGTTTACGAGGAGCATTCGTTGAAAATATGTTTGCGTTATCAAGCAAAAACTAATGAATGGATTTTGATGAAACTCTTACATTAATGTAGTTAAAATAAGAGAATACGATAACAGCCTTTCCTAAAGAGGGTGATAGCATTCTTTGTATGTTGTTAATAATATGATGTAGTAATAATATAATAATATCATGTTATTTAATGTATTACTTGTATATTTCGTTCAGTATTAGTATCTAGCGCGGAGGTCGCCTCATCCAACAGTACTATAGCGGGGTCCTTCAGTAGTGTTCTAGCGATGGCTATCCTTTGCTTCTCTCCGCCGCTCAAACGGAGACCTCTCTCTCCGACCTGAAGCATTAAAAATTTTTAGAATTAAAGAAAAATGTTTTCGATAATTTCTTGAAATTTCAACAAATATATTTCTTTGTTTTATTTCTCGTCATAATTGATAAACGACACACAATTATTGTCATATTTTTCTGTCAACCATCATTAACAATCTTCCTAATAATTAATAGTAGTTTAGTATTCCTATAGAACCATTTCCCTCGAGAAGAACTCGTCGCTGCTAACAGTAACAATCGGAAATTATGAAAAAATCCTTACAAAACACAAACACAATTACATACTTGAAGAAAGATATTAAAACGAAGGAGAAAATCGTTATCGTTTAAATTAAGATCTTTCATACTTCATACATACTTCACAGTTTATACTAATATCTGCCAACAATAACCACGGAAGTGTTAATAGTTATATATGTATATTGTTATAATAGTTGTTATATGACCTGAGTGTCGTAAGCGTCAGGGAAGGTGAGTATTCTGTCGTGTATGTCCGCATTCTTCGCCGCCGAGATGATGTCTGAGGAAGATGCTGTCAGCCGGCCGTACTGTATGTTATATCTGAAAAATGCGAAGAATATTATTAGTGACATAATTATAAACACTACTTGTTTACTTCTACAACTTATTTAGAAGTTGTTGTGTAATATACATATAGGTCAAAATGATAACTTTATTGTACCTTACAAGTAACAAACTCTTAACAGAATTAACATTCAGATAGATCTATAGTCTGAAAAAATCTTGGGCACTAGCTGGATTCGATCCTATAACCCTAAAAAGATCGTGATCAAATTGTTTAAAATCCTTATTTCCCTTCTTTACTTCAATGACGTAATTTCATAATAAACATCGTGAGTAAACCTGGACTTATAGTTTCACAATTATAAGTTTGAAATCACCAACCCGTCTTGAGCAAGCATGGTGATTAATGCAAACGTTCTCCATGTGAGGAGAAGCCTTTGCTCAGTATAGGGCTCTGATAGGCTGATGATGAATTTTATAATATTGTTTATAACCTGACAGTGTTGTTAAATAGCACGGTATCTTGTGGTACGACACCAATGGCGGCTCTCAGCGAGGCCTGGGTCACTGTCGCCACGTCTTGACCATCAACGAGAACTGCGCCGCCATTCACGTCATAGAAACGGAATAAGAGACGCATCACCGTCGACTTACCAGCACCGCTTGGACCGACCTGGTGAATAAAATGTCTTGTTAGCACCACCTACTTATATTGGTCTTCGGTTTTTGGAAGATGTATGTAATATAGTTTTTCAACCAAAAAAATTACTGCTATATTTTATAACGTACTAGTTTTTGCCCGCGACTTCGTCCGCGTTAGTTTGGTCAAGAGTAATATATGTAGGTATAGCTGACCAGGCAGTGGTGGCCTAGTGGTTAAAGGGCTCGCCTCTCGTTGCCGAGGGCGCGGGTTCGATCCTGGCCCGGGCAAGTACCAATGTGATTTTTCCGAGTCATATGTACTTTCTAAGAGTATTTAGACATCACTGATTTATGTTGATTCCCAAAGAGAGGGTTGATGTCAGGCAGGCGGCCGGTCGTAAAAACAAATAGCCAAAACTATTCACAAACATGTAAGGCGGACCCTGGCTATAGCTGGGAAATTGCCAGGTAGAAGAAGAAGCTGACCAGGCAAACTCTATTCCGTCTTAGAGGCCATAAATAATCAGGTTTTCCTGTTTCAATCAAACAGAATGATTGACATATTAGTTAGTTGTCAAATCTAATGTCAAAAAAAACATTTGTATGGGAAATAGAAAAGGGCTGTTTTTAGGGTTTTCCCGGCAATTATTCCAATTTTTCTCACCTTTTAAACCTTTCCTGGACTTCCAGGAGTATTTCAAGACTAAAATTAGCCAAATCGGTTCAGCCGTTCTCGAGTTTTAGCGAGACTAAGGAACAGCAATCCATTTTTATATATATAGAAGATTTCATGAGAAGAACAATGGGCCTAACGCTAAATATTCCTTTAAGGGCAATAAATCTAAAGCAATATCTTTAGGACGTCAATAACCTCTTAATCCTTCAGATGCACCTAACTTAATATTCTATTAATACCTAATATATATTCCATAGATTTAGATTACTTGGGTAAAGATATTTTACTCGCCATAGACCAAAAACCTAATTGTTATAAATTAGATATTAGCTAAGCGCAGAAAATTTTATAGCAAAAAAATGTCCTACTTTTGGGACACAAAAAACTAGTACAAACCAAGGCGACGGTGGATCCCGGTGCAACTTTAAAACTGATATCATTCAAGACCAATCTTTCCGGTCCGTAGCCAAATGACACGTGCTTGAATTCTATGCCCCCCCTTCTGATCAATAGATCCGGTGCGCCCGGTACATCCTTCACGTCAGAATCCACGCGAAGAAGATCGAACATATTCTCCATATCAACGAAATTCTTTTGTATAGCCCTGTAACAAATATTAAAGTTGGTTAACCAAGATAAAAAATGTAAACAAACTGTCAGAGGTCCATAACATTTTTATTGATAACGTAGAAAGTGACAATTGGTAGTATTGTAATGTTTATATTTGTAAAGTAGTATAATTATATAATGAATATTGATTAATAAAAGCATAATGCTCTGTAGCATATTCAAGGGTCAAGTATTGATTAACTAGTTTTTTCTCGCGACTTCGTCTGAGTAGACTTTGGAAATTGGGCTTAGAGAGTTAAGTATAAAGAGTTTTAATACAATATATATTAAGGAACTGTCAGCGATATCTATAGTGTTAAAAAACTTTATACAATATACAAAGGTTGTTTGTTAGGTATTTCCACGGGAAGCACCCGGAATGAAGGAATGAATGATTCAAATATGTAATCTACATAACAATAAGAGTTTAAGTAAAATCCATTTTAAAGCTTTAAAGTGAAAATGACAAATATCTATCCATCAATACAATAGAATTTCACTTTGTTTAGAAAAATTATCTAGTTTCGTTGTCACCTTACCTCTTTTAAAGTTAATAAAAACACATACATGATATCCATGAAATTAATAAAGTAATAAAAGTGAAAGAAGTATAACTAAATAATTTATGAAAACAACTAACCTGTAATAGGTTCCAAACCAATTCAAGGGCACGTATAGTTGTACTATATATGATGCGAATAGTACATAGTCACCGACTGTTAGCTCATATGTTCTAACCACCATTGATATCGCCAGGAGAGAACCCGTTAGTAGACCTGGGAACCAGGAAATAAATTAAATAAGAAGTCATATTTAACATGGATCTTTTTATACTGGTTAATAGTCGTGTGATTGTATGTATATATACATAAACGTGTGTGGGTGTGTGTGTATTTGTTTTATTTCAGTATCAGTATAGAATATATGATTAAAGAAACTTAAACGCTCCACATCACCAGAGGTTATTATCATACCTATTTAAGTTTTCTTTTCATTTTCTGACTGAAAATACTATAAAAATGTTAAACATAGTGAGTCAGTCAATACACTTCCCTTACAAAGCTGAACTGCTTAACCGATTTAAATGAAAATTTGTATAGAGGCAGATAGGACCTTGAAACAAAATAAAGATTATACTGATAAAGTATAAAAATACTACTGATTGGCTTTATAATCGCAGTCACAGTCGCCGGCAGAAGCTAGTATTACTATATAAAAAATGTAACATAAATAACAATACTGATTAAACACTCTTAAACCACTGACTGATAAAATAGGCAACGACCCTCCAAGGTCACCGAAGGTCGTACAAGTTGAATTACAATTTATATGCAATTATAATGACATCAATCATTCTGTCGTGTAAATGTTATAGTAATGATATAGTATAGTAATTAATATTGAATGGTGCGTATTATTAATATGGTACACTCACCCACACATATAATGATGTTCTGCATAGTATTCAACATGTTCAGAGTTATCAATGACTTGAATTCTTCTTTCTGAAATAATTCATTAATATATATTTAATTATCTAGGTACAAGTAGATGGTAAATAAAATCTTGTTTATATAGTTACATAGAAAGTAATAAGAATTAAAGTCGGAAGAAAACTATGGTAATATTTAGTTGTTAGAAAACATATGTCTGTAATTTTTTATTTTTTGGTGTCTTTAGAATTGAGATTTTAAAATTGATGTTATTTTATTGATGCTAGAATTTCTTTAATAAATAATAATTATAGATAAGAAAATAAATTATCGTTGCAAAATTATTCTGTTAAAGTTTCATATGAACTTTATCACAACTTATTGACAGTTATTATTTATTTTTCGATATCTAAACACACGTACATATTTATCAATAATTATTTTATAGTTATCACAATTATCGTTTACTGTTATTTAGTTTGGATATTCCACTTCAAGCTTACTTAATATGATCAATTCAAAGATTTTTTTAAATTCATATTCATAAAGCACATTTAGTAGTATGACCTCTTTGGTATTTTATAAAAACTCTTTTCTATAAACTATTTAGTAAAGCATTTCTAAATTTAAAAATCTGAATTATAGAATAAGATCTTGTGTACCTGATAATTTAATATGGCGTCCTTGTAGGCGTAAACCTCATACGTCTCAGCGCCATAATATTTGACGGTTTCGAAATTGAGAAGCGAATCTACTGAGCGTGCTTTCTGCTCGTTGTCAGCTTGGTTCATTCTACGCTGGAACTTCGTTCGCCATTCTGTTACAGCTATTGTTGCGACTGGGAAAATACATTTAATATATAATAGACAGTCATTATAATATAACTTTTGTATTTACTATTGTTCTATATATATTATATTGCTTTAGAAAAAATTATAATTTACTACAATCAAAAATTTACTGTCAAGCCACTTTATAATCCTACTAATATTATAATTGCGAAAGTTTGTGAGTGTCTGTGTATGTTTGTTACTTCTTCACGCTCAAACGGCTGAACCGATTTTGATAAAATTTTGTATACAGGAAGCTGACGTCCAGGAATAAGACATAGGCTACTTTACATCCCGAAAATCCGCGGGTAACATCGCGGACCGCAGCTAGTATAACATATATTCAAGTTTAAAACAATAATTAAAAATCCTTACTTATATACAGAACCATAGTAGCAAAGACTATGAGTCCGAACCACGCGTTGAATGCTGTCACGAAGTAAACCACGGCGACTATGATGTCTATGATTGTGGGTGTTATAGAGAACAGTATGTATGATAGAAGATTGTCTATTGAATCCGTTCCTCTGTCCATAACCCTCAATACTTCACCCGTCTTTCGCGACAGATGCCATTTGAGAGGCAGATCATGTAGATGCCGGAACAATTTCAACTGGAATACATATAATGTTTAAAATACTAGCTTTAAACGTGACTTCGTTTATGTCAAATCATAGTAGAATTGACCTTTTTACTATTTATCTTAACATACATAATAAAGATTTCTTAAAAAGCCTTTGTTACGTCATTCCGTTTCGACCATATACATATATAACAAACAGATGGACAAATATTATACAAAAAAAAAACGTATTTTCGTATACATCTATATAAATTATAAACTATTTTGAATAAAAAAGCGGTAATTTCAATATAACAAAAGAACGACTTTTATGTTGAATATATAGATTAGAATAAAAAAATGCTTTATGTTCATTAATAATAATAATACATATATACGTAATATTATATGAATTATTTTTTGTTCTAATCTGTCTTAATGAGGTCACATTATGATCCTTGGTAATTTGATCCGTTCAATCCAAATCAAGGTAACAACATTCTAAACACATAGTTTAATCTTATAAGCGCTATTATTCCATTCGACAAACTCCTTCGTGTTTCCTCTAAACACTATTCAAAATTGTAATTCTTCCAACAAATAAAAACGTAAACATGGGCAAAATATTCTACGATTCAGGGGGAACGAAGACATAGTATAAAAAGAGGGTATACTTTAAACTGTCTTCAGTGATAATTATATATTTCTGTGAATACAAATGTTAAATTCGTAACAACTATTCAGTTAAGTTAAAAATAACTTTCTATTATATCGTCTCTTAACGTAGATTTAAATACTTCTTACTTTAAACTTCATAGTACGCGTTCTTAGTTCCGACTGTCTACGTAAAGTATGAAAGTTTTTTACACCAAAATTTCTTATCACCGATGAATTTTAACTTTTGTGAACTTGTATTATGATTATGTAATTTGTATAATATAAACAAACAGTTCATGCAGAACTAATTTAAAAACTATTTAAGTTACAATTATGACGAGTTAATTAACAATGCGTAATGAAGAATTTAATACTATTTTCCACATACAGATTAATTCTCTATATACTATTATACTAGTGAATAAAGCAACGATATATGCAAATTTTAGACAAACATATGAATTCTCAATGAACTGTCTAACAAATATCAAGAATCCGGCTGAATAATTAAAGGCTATAGTGACTAAAAATAAAACTAAAAGTATAAAAATAAAAACTAAGAAAATAAAAATAGATTTAACAAAAAAAAACTAGTAAAGCAAGGTCGTCCACTAGTATTTAGAATATTACGTCTGATATTATAAAACAAATAAAATAAAGCAATCAAGTAAAACTTGTTTGACATAAATAGAGTTTATGTAACACTAGTTTTAACAGTTCAATATGCTATATGCTAATCTATGGATTAAAAATAAATATTCAAATACTAGCCGTTGCCCCTGACTTTTTTTTAGTTAATCACTCCTTATTTCTTACATAATAATATGATTAAGTTGACTAGTATTAAAATTCAGTTCAGTAATTACGAAGAACGTACAGACAGACATACCAAAAAATCCTATATATGCTGTTTGGTCATATACGACGTGAACATAACGATATACTATATATTTGTTATGAAACAATTGATAAGAAATTATTTTTATTTGTAATGTATAATCATGTCATGTCATAAAAAACAGCCAAAAATAATGTAAGAAATATGTATATATGCATTAATTTTTTTTTCTTTATTCAACACCGTCAGCTACACTTCACTTACCTGTAGCTCTCTCGTCGTATATTGTTGGACTCGTATCCAGAGGAATGATCTCAGGTTGTTCAAGAGTCCCATACCACCAGTGCCGCCTCCTTGGAGGAACTTGAAGAAAACGTACGTAACCACCAGGTCCCATCGGAAGTGGAGCGGCGGTATTGACAGACTGTCGACTGGAATACACGAGTTACATTCATTTTTGCACAGCATATTTACGAACGTAGAAAGATTAATACGCACAAAGTACGTACATATGCATGGTTTATATATTTCTTTAAAACCATTTTTTTAAATAATTAATATATTCAAATACTATATATATAACATATGTTTATAGTCTGTGTGATAAAAACACATTTCTTTTTTTTTATTAAAAAGAAAACCAAGCACGCAATAACGTCATTACGGTCATACATTAACGTCACTCGATTTTGAATTTACATAAAAAAAATACTTTTTAATTTATATTACATGAAATATATCCTTATTTTTCAAAATGATCTTGAAAAATTTTTATCGTCTTAAAAAAAAAATATTAAAAAAAACTTTTATGTACGCACATCCATAAAAGGACTTTCAAGTCCAATGAACTAAGCTATTACGCAAATGATATACGAAAAAAAACATATAAAAACATTCGAAAAAATAAAACTTCTCCATGTCATTCGAGTTTTTTAATATATTTTTATATGAAAAAAATATATATACGATTATCGTGTCAATTGAAAAGAAATCTTAAATTTAAAGGAATAAAGAGCTTATTAGCTTTTGCTAGCTTATACCTACAGGTTTAGTATAGATAGGACTTTGGTTGTTATATTTCATATTTATGAAGATAGTTTTGTTAGAAATAAAATATATATTTTTAATTATATGGAGCATTAAATAGTCACCAGGCTTCAATAAATAAAAAAAAAAACATTTTTTTGTAAATGTTTTTATGGCTCTGGATACGAGTATGGGAATAAATAAAGTAAAAAAAATATAGGTATATGACGTTTATAATATTGCAAGAACTATCTAAGCTATTAAAATAAATTTTCAATATATTATTAATATTAAACATGGGTATCGATCGTGTACAGGTCAGGTATCACACGATTTGGTTTGATAAAACCAATAATACAAACGAAATGTTTTCGATTAATAATAAAAACGAAATTGTGAGATAACCGTTATTTTTTTAATCACAGAGCCCAGTTTAACAGAATATTAAGCGACAGTTTAAAAAAAAGGCCGATAACGCATAACTTCCCGCTCACCTCCAAAGTGCGATCGGCTATTTATTTAAAATTGGTGATTCTTTTTTTTTTATCACCCAAAACATTTTTGGCATGTTTCAATAAAGTCACTATGACTGATTTGCATATGAATGCAGGATGCTGCTCGTATAAAAAAGTAAAAAAAGCAACCTTTTATCTACCGTGTAGTTATGTAGGTAATTTCAAAAACTGTTAATAATGTGAATTTAAAATTTAAGCCGATCTTTAACATTTTAATCCATAGGAACTAATTATATTTTTATTATAAAATACGTTAGAAATATCTATTTTAAGTTAATTATTCAATTTATGCTGGTTATACGAAAAAAATGATATGCAAGAATAAAACATGAATACTAGACAATAAATTCTAGATGATTCTTTTCTAATACAGTAGAAAAGATAATCCAAAACAGCTTTTGCACATAAGTTTCATACATACATCCATTCTCAATGACGACGCCATATAAATTAACTAATAACTCACCTATTTTCTTGTTATATATAGGTACGTAAAGGTTAATGACCCTCCCAGCGAGCAGAGCTAGCACACATATGAACACATATATCTGAAGACAAACACTCTTGCTGGGCCACATGAACGGCAGCAGGGTACGCATCTTGCCGAATACATTTCGGAATGTTGAACCGCCATCATTCTATAAACATAATGAAATTAATTAAATAATATCCATGACTCAAAACAATTTTTATCCCGATCTTATTTGGACTGTTTCGGTTTCAGAATTAGAAAAAAAAAAGGATTAGAATTCCAAAACCAAATAACGAATTACTTTTAGGAAAGAGTAATTCACGAAATTTTTACGTGTATACTATATAATTTAAATTAGTAAACAGGTAAATTATTATGTACTTAAATACATAATTGCCAGTACTGAATGTAAGTTTTTAATATTCATACTTGCAATTCCTTTTCTTAAAAATTTTTGAAGGTAAAAAAAACGCTCATTAATATTACAATACAATGCGTCACAAATATTTGAATGAAATTTATTTCCTCCAATAATTAAAAGAAAAAAACAAGAGCTTATCTCAAAATGTCAGTTGAGATGCCCGATATGGTTGTATGAAGGGCGGAATCATAAAGCGGCTGCTTAACGATAATATTGTTATTTTCGAAAATTTCTGCTTTTGAAAAACTATACCCAACAAAATATTACGCAACTTTTATATATCGATGTGATATCTGAACATTTACTTTATGTAAACTACGATAGGGTTATTTTTATCACGGCATTAATAAAACTGTGACTAAAAAAATATTACTAAATTAAGGGAGATACATATAGGTATTGTCAACTAATAAAAACATGCACTGTATATTAGATGTTTATAATTTATAATATCACCAATATATTTGTCGGGGAATTTTATTTTCCAGTTTCCACACGTATGTGATAATAATCACTGAACATGAGATAGTTTACAAAACAATATCTATCAATTGCAAAACTATTTATGTACACGCGGTAAGAAAAACAATTAACTTCAGAACCTCCACGTGTTTTAAAAGTTGGTAAAAAGATAGTACAGATTATTGGACACCTGAATCACTTAATATTTCAACAACCCCAGTTATTACTACATCTAATCATGTAACATAAAATTACGTCATTATGTGGAACCCATGGGTACATTTCGTTAAATTCACTAATATCTTCATACTTTAATTTATCACTAATACCTTAAAAACATTCTTTTTTGGATCTGTTACAATTAAATAATTTTGATATGGACATGACATCTTAACCTATAACATACAGTTATATATATTTGACATTAACATTGTCATCTTTCATAAAATTATTAAATTATTAAACCTCTTTGGTGAAAGAAATGTATAAATTATAAAAATCATTTAATAATTACAAAAAAAATTAACTCACCCTGGGTGGTATGTTTCTACGATTATCGTCATCGGAGTCGAGATATTCAAATGGATGCATAATACCTGGCGCTTTCATCCCGAGGATGAACATTAACATACAGGATACATACCGACCAACAAATAGGGCCATTTCAAGGCGATCTTGAAGACTAAAAAGATAATTTATTTAGTATATATAAGATAATAATAAACCAAATTTTAATCAAAGAAAACTTACTCTTTCAAATGCCACCACCATCCATCCTTATTCAGATTTAAAAATGATAAATTCTCTGATATAAATATCATTGCCCAAAATACAAGCAATACAAAACCATGGCCCCTCGGTAACACTGACGGTAAAAGGAACCGTCTTTCAATCACAGCTAAATACGCAGACAGTGGGAATATTACAATATTCACCACTAATGCTAATATCTAAAAACATAATATAGAAAAACTTATTACATGTTCCAGATAGTTTAAGATATTTATCTATGAAAAATATAGACATACCATGAACAAATAATATATTATAGTTTAAACAAAGAAGGGTAAGAATATTAGTAATGTTATCTGTTATTAGACAAATGGGGAAACAGACCCTCTTTTGTGTCTAAACAATGAACAATATACATAACTCACCATGTATCCATAGATATGCCCTCCCTTAAATACAAAAGCTTGTAACAGAAAACGAATTATAGCCAGAACTGGCACAAAAAGTGTGAAGAACAATTGTACTACAAACAGCTTTGAAGATCTGACATCAGTTATTTCTGTAGCATATCTGTAAAATTATATATAACATAAATTAAAATTAAACTGTACCAATGTATGGACAAAATATTAATCACATGCAATTTTATAAGAAATTTTACTATAGTGACTTTCAAATGTTATACATTTTAACATTACCTTTTATACATCACAATTTGTGTTATACCAAAAACCAGTAGAAATCCTCCAATTAGAGTAGCAGATACAGTCTCCATAAAACATTGTGAAATTCCATGATCTATCCAGATCTCCTCTAAAGTTATATTCGGCGGACAGTACTCCATTTTCGTACCTATGAATACACATTAACGATTAATTAAAACTACATCCAATCGAAAGTTCTAAAAGCCGGTAAATGTACAATTAGAAATATATAAAACTCAGCATTTTCTTAAATACATGGCAGTCAAAATTACTGCTGTCACTATTAAAATTTTTGTATTTTTTTAATTAAACGGGTTTGAACTATCTTTTTTTACACACTTACAATGCAGTTTTTTAAAATATTAACGCGTAGATGAATGTCAACAATGTATTCATTTCGTATACAGGAATAGCACTACAATAATATTATAATCAGTAGATTAAGAAAGTTGTTTAATGTTATTATCTTATAAAGCAAGGAATGAATGGCAATTTTCATTTGGTTACCTCCGCCGTTTTCCCTGTACAAATAAATTATCAATGTAATAGTGGATGACAAAATACTTCACTTTGACAGCCAAATGACAGAATGTAACATGACATTTAACAAATGTCATTCAAAGTGAACTTTTCTTGTTGAAGAACTAATAAACAATTTCAAGAAATTAAATTGATCGTTAATTAAAATAATTAAAGAGATCAATCTATATTTTTTTTGTACTATAAGTCGAAATTAAATATGAAATATTCAACCTTCAAATATTATAAATATATAAACAAATATAGTGACCGCACGACCTATTAGAAAAGGTACAACTTTTAATTTATTTATAAGAAATTCGTTATTTTTATTCACTATTGATAATATTATCAAAATTTTATTATTTCATTGAAATCCATTTTACATTCCGTCTTAATTTGTTCCAAACTACGCAAGATTTGTTGATCTGTTAGCTTTAGCGATTCTTGTAATCTGCGAACTCCAAAGCAAATTGAAATGACGGGTCGTGGTGAATGATGGTGAATGTGGGTTATTTTATCTTTAGCGTTTTAGTCTCATAGGCTTGCGTGTATGAATAAACAAAGAAACGTTCAGACGTATTTTAAATGAGTTTCATTAAATCAAGTTTAGTGCCCGTATGCACTTCTTACTTTATTTTGATATTAGTAATGTGTCAATCTTCATCAACAAATGGTGTTATAGATCAGTGAACAGTAGTCATGTGAAGAAGGTTATGACTAAAACTCGGAAATTAAATTGGAAATTTGGTGTGCAACTTGTGTTTGTGTACTGTGCGAGTGTCTAATTATTGGGTGATATAGGCGCTTATTCAGTCTCAAAATGGCGGACCTAGAGGCTGTGCTGGCCGACGTCAGCTATTTGATGGCAATGGAGAAGTCGAAATGTACTCCTGCAGCACGGGCCAGCAAAAAGATAGTCTTACCTGACCCAAGGTACTATAACGTAGTACATGCTACATGTCATGAAAACACGATAAGGTCGCCGACTGTACAGAAAGTTAAACTTTTTCAATTGTTTACAAAATTATATTAATATGAACTTGTCATACTTTTAGGTTAAATTTGAATATGACTAATACTTTTATTACAAATCACGTATTTTTCTGTTTTCTCATTAGTTAACAATAATCAGAAATCTTATTGAGATATTAATTTTATGATTTTCGTGAAAATATATTAAAACAAATAAGCATTTATAATAATTAGAGATTCAAACCCTAATGCATTATTTATATTATTTTAAATATGAAATGTATCTGTTTTTAAAATTATTGTTTTCTGATAATAAAATTTGTATTAATTCTTTCAGGCTTTTAGAGGCAGTATTAATGTTTTTTTATTAATAGCATTTTATATACTAAATCAAGTACAAATCATCTGATATAAAATATGAAAATTGAATTGGAATAATATAAAATTTTTATTATATTCAAATCTTTTAAAAATTATATAATTTATTTATTACAATAAAAATTAAATGATTCATGACAAATAATATAATTATTACCTTCTCCATGTGAGAAAGAGGCCTTTGCTCAGCAGTGGGCGTTGATAGGCTGATGACATGACATGACACAATATAATAATTATTAGCTAGTAATATTTTCTGGATGATAATTAATTTTATTCACTTTAAACTTTAAGGGAAAGCTTTAGTTTGAATCTAAACTTTCAAATAAATATTTAATAAAAACCATTATTCAGTAATTGATCACAATTAATGAATAAAAATTAATTAAAATATTATCATGATTAGATCATATTATATATAAGTCATTCAGCTTTAGACAACAGTTAAATAAATAGAAGTGTCTTCTATAGGAAAACACTATAATATTTTTTAATAATAAGATAACTAGGGTCCATATTAATGGCACTATAAATATTATTATCAGTATTAAGGTAATAAAATAATATATGAAGGCATTAGAATTCCATCTAACTAATAACATATTTTAATCCCAGCAATTAAAGATTATATATTTGAATAAATTTACAATAACTTGCAGTATATGTATACTGTTCAATATATTTTATGTGTTTTCTTGATTTATAGGAAATCAGTGCAAAAAGAGTTTTATTTTTAAATGGAAATATGATATGTATTTACTGTATGATTTATTATAATACATTTTATTCAATATTTAAATTATTAATAGCATACTACATGTGAAGGTAGATGACTTGAAATTTTTTACTAAAGAAAGTGTTTAAATTTCGATTTCATGTATTGTTTCAACTAGAATTCTTAGAAACCATAAAAAATTTCAAGGAAAAGCTGTAAGATATTTGAGAGAAGGAAGATCTGATATAGTTATGTGAAATAATTCTTAAATTAAATTACTATCTTGCTTGCTAAGTAAATCATAAATCGACAAATCAAAGCAAAAAAAATTTAATTATTTTTGACATCTAATTCATTTATGTAGTTAATAATGAAATCGTAATAATTTAAAGAAATTTAGAATAAAAAACTATTTCTTTAAGTTTAAATACAATTCGTAAAAGAAGTCTTCTTTGATATATTTTACCTAATTGACATAGATATTTTTAAATGTCCATTCTCAAGTAATAGATGTAAGACATTTATGAATCAGGGAAAATAATTTTAGAATTTTTGCTGATATCAGAATTAAGGGTCAATAAAATATATATAATTTTGTTTTAATGATAGAAAATACGACGAAATGATAAATGCTCTTACTTTGTCTCCTTTCATGACTGCTGAAAGTTAAGTGAAATATTGGGTAAAATAAAATACGCCAGTCGTATTCGAAAAGTATATTTTCATTTAAAAAAGAAAATCATTTTTTAGGGAAGATTATAATTTCGCAAAAATTAAAATTTACTTGCGAAATATAAGTTTACGACTGTATAACCAAACACATTTCACATCTAAAGATGAAATCGAGACATTATGATTATCTACATTCTACAGTATGAAATTAACACAAGGAAATAAATATTTCCCAAAATGTTTTTATACTTAATAGGTATAATACACAAGAAGTCTCTCTGTTGAAATTAAAATCTCATAAGCCCTTAGGATGTTATAAACGTTATCTGGATAATAATATAGCGTTATAATCTATTTTATATATATGTATATCAAACGCGTAAATTACGAAAAAGTTTGTTATATTTTCGACTTAATCCTTACTTTATCTATAAGTAGTTCGGAATTTATCGATAATCAGATTACCGGAAAAATAATGTAGTCACTATATGAATAGATCACGATACCGTAAAGCCACTCAAATCCAGCCAAAAAAAGGCTATCACACAAATTTTATGTTGACAAATTATTATAGAAGATATACTTCTAATAACTATGTAGACGATATAACGCATAATATATCGTAAAAACTACGACAGAGTAAGGATAGGACGTAAAAAATCTCGCAGTTGTCACATAGTAAACAGAACTATAAAACATTTTCTGTCATTTTATTTACGAGTCTTATATATAATATATTGAAATAGTTTCTATTATTTTATGGGATTTATAATATATGTGTACATTTTTGTTTGTTGCAGTGTCCGTAGCGTGATGCACAAATACATGGAGAAGAAGAACGAGGTTAATTTCGACAAAATATTCAATCAAGTCCTAGGTTTGTATTGTGAAATATATTATTAATATTTAAAATGGTTTTCCTTAAAATTATTTTAAGTTATATGTATGAAAAGAACGTAAAAAAATATAAATGTATTTTCCTACATTTCTTCCTAACAGCTTAATTGAATTATCTCGTGAAGTAGGTTAGTCTGAGACCCCTTTGAAGCGTTCTTTCATCTCTTCTGATACGTAAGCCTCCACAATGTGTGCTGTGTTGTAAGATTCGTCTCATTTTGCACATCGACGGTCGTTATTGTGACTTATATGTACTTAGACCTGAATTGCCATTAGCGTTACTGAACTTCACCGTCTGTTATGAAAATATCAAACAAAATGTTTATAAATTTTGTCATTGAAGCTATAGTAAGTACTTAAAATTTTACGAAAATAAGTTTTCTAATTATAGAAACGTAATTCCATATATCTGTAATAAAAGATACTTCCAACTAAAAACTCCAAACATTTAACTAAAGATCGAATTTAAAAAATAAATTAAATTAAAATTTGAGCATTATTAATTAAGTAGCAATTAAAACATTACATTTGAAACAAATTATGATAGTGTGAACTAAGGTTTAGATTAATGTATCAAAGAAAAATAAATTGACATATATTTTTTTATATGTTTTCTATTATTAAATCACGTAAGATCGTAATTTTTAACATCTCACAATATACTCGACATGATACAGTGACCCAGTATCGAATTATTGATAACATTATAATCATAGGCTACGTACATACAAATGTATCATGTTAAAATTTCATACAAAAGATGTATGGATGTCTTTAATACAATACGAAAAAATATTGTCATTTAGTAAAACGAATCATAGATATTAAAATATATATTTATTTCTAATCGAAAAAGATCGCTGGAAAAATTAATACATTCTATAATACTTTTAATGTCATTCACTCTTTTATAATTTTATTTTAATTCCATCATGAGTCATTATTTAATTGCATTTTAATGGTATAATGGTCATGTGCTAGGAATTCATGACCGTCTGTGTGGTATTAAATAATTATAACTATACAAACATATCCTGCATAATTGTTGACTGATGACAAGAAAATTACATATAAAATGTAACATTGACCAGGAGTCGTTTGTTTTACATGACTACAACCAATCGTAATTAATCAGATTACTATAGAATATTATATGAATAATAAATGATAGGAACTAGAAGCGATTAAAAATGTATTAGGTAAGACTAGGATGTAGGAAAAAAATAAGCAAAGGAGAGCGTATTCCTAATAAACGCTAGATACTTCAAATCTTGTTTAGTACGTAATATCAATTTGCGACATAGCTCTGTATCGTCGATACTCAATGCCATCGAACACAATTTACGGCCGATGGCTCTTAGACTTGCAGTAAATAAGTTTATTGGATGCACTGAGATGACTTGATAGGTTTGAGATTGTTTTGTATTTAAACGGCACTTATCTAACATGTATAGTGTATACGTACGACGTATATCGCTTACGTTCTAATAATATTTATCAGTTCATTTTAAAAGATAATAATTGCGTATAATTAATTATCATATATGTACGTGATCCATGCTGATATTTTAGGTCGTATGATTTCAAAACTTTAAAATACTTATATCACTCTACAAGTTTAAATAGCATTGGTGTTCAAGCGTCAGTCATTTTTCATTCAATAACCTACGTACCTATTATGGCTATAATGAAAGGATTTATGTGTAAAAAACTATTGACGTTCCGTATAATATATTGTATTGAAGCAACCTTATTAAGTTCCTAAGGACTTAATACAAGGAGTAAAATACTGAAAAATTGAAGTTACACGAATCCTTTGTCATATATAAACGGTCTATTTGTTAATATTTTTAATATTAAGGTATTTAATTCTAATTTATTTTATAGTGTGATATACTGGTACTACTACTATTTTGTTGCATTTTTAAATTACAAACCTAATTTATCGTATTTTCATAAATTTTTACCATTTGAAACATCTAAAGTAATTGTAGGTAAAAATTAAGTGATAAACAAAAAAATATAAAAACGTTGAGCGGTGTATGGAAGTGAAATGTGAATAGATCATAGGCCCTTTCAATAACTAAGACACGTTATCTTAACAAAAAGTATTCCGAATAAAAAAAATGAACACTATATTATAAAATCTTTATATTATCAGTACTATATGTATGTATGAAGTATGTATGTATGTATACAAACATTTAAAAAAAAAAACACTTAAAAATTAAAAACTAATAAAATCTTCTATTAATATGGTCGGATGTTTCATTAATAAAGTGGTATAAAGTCCTAACTGGTTATACTAACAGATAATAATACACGTTCTAATGCCTCATAATTTATTTTCGATAAATATCTCACTTACGATAGTAGCACAAAAACATTATAGTCGTAAATTAAAGATTAATCTACTTTTATTGTTCTTAGTTTTTCCTGATATGTTTTTTGCCCATACATGTTACATATTATTAGACTAATATATATATATATATATATATACAGGGTGACTGGTGAATTACTATCGATATTTGAGGACGTGATATTTGACGATCATATATGACGAAATAAAAATTAATATAACATAAATATTAATAAACTTCTAAGTAAAGTTAACCAAAAGTTATGTAATTAATTACGCATCGTGTGAACACCCTACAGATTAGGTATACACACACACTCACACAGACGCGGCGGCGGCGTAGTGTTGTATCAGCACGCCGCAGCACGCGCCCACACTCGGAACACTTGGAACGTGTACACACTTTATTTATTTATACGGAAATTTGGTCAAAAATTAAGTACCTATTTTTTTTACATAATTCGAATAAGAATCATGTACCGAGTATGCTCCTTAAATATTGATAGTAATTCACCAGTCACCCTGTATATATATATATATACAGTGTAAACTCTATATAACGACACTGAAGGGACCGTGCATTTTAGTGCGTTATAAAGAGTTGCCGTTAAATAGAAAGAAGAAAAATCAGAATTAGAAAAAGACAAAGTTTATTTCAGACTAGTGTTAGTACTTATGTACATAAAAAAGAATGTTATTCGAACGCTATTGCGTATAGTCAGTTATTTTTGTTTGACGTCTTTTGCTGCACCAGTACTGTTGTTGTATTTTTTTAGTTATTTTATTAATATCTTGCGATATTGAGGCATCTTGGTTATAAAAGAAATAATTTTCCAGTAGTTTAGCTGCTTCAAGAGCTTCTTTAATGCTCGGCGGAGGCTCAGGCTCATCTATCTCATCTTCTTCATCTCCTTGTTGTTGATCCTCAGTTTTTCTCACTGAATCTAAAATTTCTTTGTCTGTGAGTGAAGTCGTTGTAAGGAGGGAGTCATCTACTTCCATGTAGGTTTGAAGATTTACCGTATTTCCTGCCATGTTAAACTGTTGAATCCACTCAGTTAATGGAAGTTCGTCGTCACTATCAAACTCAGGTTCCGTTTCCACCTCATTACTCGTAGAAATGGTACAAAGTCCAGCATGTCGAAGAGAGTGCTGTATAGTTTTGGTGTCACTTCTTCCCAGGCTTTAGATAAAAAGTTTACTGCATGCAGCTTATTAACAGTAGTTTTACCCTCAGATTCGACTAGCTCCATCAATAATTTCTTTCTGTAGTGACCCTTGAGGCTTTTGATCACACTCTGGTTATTTTTCCATGTTGTATACACGGTAGAGCGACTAAATCCAAAGCGTTTGCCAACATCGCTTATCTTCTCTCCCGTTTCTATTGCGCGTATCAGTAACACTTTTTCGTCAACACCCAGTGATTTTCTTTTACTAGCCATGTTTACAGTTTGAGATTTTGTGAGCAACTGAGAATATGATAACGTATAGGTAATACAAGACTCCTACTTATGGTCAAAAACCGTCGACACGTGTAAGCAATTGATAATAAGAACGAATTTCTTAGAAAGTTCGGTATGCACGATAGGGACAGTCGAGTTTATTGCGGGCTAGGATAACAAAGCGACAAAGGAACGTACACACAGCTGCACAGTTTTTAACTAATTTTAGCAACTTAAAAGGTACTTTTTATTACGTAATTGTTGTCGTTATTGAGAGTGGGTGTGCCGCTATGTAGAGTGTATCATTGTATGGTAAACAAGCTAAACCAACCAAAGTCAAATGATTTCGACGCTTTAGAGAGTTTGTCGTTAAATCGAGTGTCGTTATATAGAGTTTACACTGTATATATATATATATAAGATTAAAGTGCAGTTCCGACTTATATATAAGCCTTATTGACTTTGATCAAATAGTATTAATGGGATTATATTATATATTACCTATAATAAAACTTCATACACTTTGTATACACTCTAGTGATTTTATATTTTTTTCACATACAACCTAATTTTGTATTTTGCATAATGTATTATTAATTTATATATGTATTCATTTGATATAATCTGCTTTTATTACGTGATAAAAAAAAGCATCAGCAACAACCTATTAATAATATTACGTTAAGGAAAATTTTATACTACATCTCATCTACGTAGCGTGCGAATAAAAATAGCACTGTCAAAAATTCATAGTGATTTTTTTGAATAAATAAAGGCAAAGGTATTGATCTATTAATTGAGAGACGAGTGATTTATATTAGAGTGAACAGATAATTTATGATATAGTAATATTACGTAATAGGGCCGCTGTTGAAAGAATTTAGTTAGAGGTTGGTTAAAACGATTCATATGTTGTATGGTAATGCCGTTTAAACTTTCTGCGAATTGATTTCAAAAGAAATTTACGACAGAATTCACCGTATAAGAGAGTATGCTGACTCATGCCTGAATCATAAGTTACTCTCGGAATGTTTTTAAATTGAAATTTAAGTTCGCATCAAAGTGTTTTCTATAAGCTCATTTTTATATCGCATTGTCGTTGTGGAATTTAAAAACATTAGGTATTTTTGATGTGACGAACACTAGAGTACATATGTTTTTTCTTTTTGACTGAAATTACAGGTTCAATAAATCATTGTCAAGTGCCTGTTCTGTTAGTTTATTTACATAATTTATCTTGTTTCGCTGGCCACCGAATAATAAAGGCCAAACATGATTGGTGTGTGCTAAGGATTTATTACGCATCAAGTAACGATTTCACTCATCGTCTGTTCGATATCTAGATGCACAAAATTTTCTACACCAATATAAATAAATATTTCCAAATAAATACATTAAAAACTGATTGTTTTGTATGTGAATAGAGCAGTTAAAAATTAACTTTATATCAAATGTTAAAAAGTTAGTTTTTTTTTTGATTTTTAAGATTTTCGCGAGTACTCATATTCCTAAATGTAACTGAATTTTTCGTTAATTCATCAGTTTCATCCCGACTGCCCGTAATTGCGGTCACAGAAACGATGGGTTTATGTAGTTGTAAAATAATAAAAAAACGCGTAGTCCCTTAAAAACTTAGTTTTCTTAATACACTGACCTATTATACATATAAAATATTATATTGCTTCAACTAACTGTCAATGAAATACTAATTATTTTATATAAAAAGTTAGTTACGTCACTATGATAAGAAAGAATTAATTGTTATATATTGTTCCAGGTTATTTATTATTTAAGGAATTTTGCGAACAGACGTCTGACGAACCAGTGCCACAATTAAAATTCTATGAAGAGGTAAAATATATTATTTTAATTAATAATAATCATTAATAAATGTATTATAATCTAAAATAATAATTAATATTGACAGATAAAGTTATATGAGAAACAGGAGTGCGTTGAGGAGAGACGAAGAATCGCGAGGGATATATACGACAATTTTATAATGAAAGAACTTTTAGCACACTCGCATGTGAGTATACTAGTCTCGGGATCAATGAAATACTTTTATTAACCGACTTCACAAAAGGAGGTTCTCAATTTGGCTGCATTTTTAACATTTCGTATATTATTTGTATGTTTGTTTCCTCATAACTGTCGACTGGCCGAAATGAGTTTAATAATTTTTTTTTGTCGTAATAAAAAGCTTTGGATATAACCAAGTACAGAAAAGGTACCAAATACTATACACTATATATTAATGGAAAGATTCGAGTATTAAAAAATGCCATACAAGATCCGTATAAGAATTTTACGATAGCATCTAAAACGTCGTGTTTATACTTAAGTTTCATTAAGCAAAGAGACATGTTTGAATAGAGATCTTAAAATGTTGAGACGTTGACGTTGTTTGCGTGGAGAGCTGAGTTAAGTAGATATTCTTGGCTAGATGCCAATTCACTGCCACTTCGCAAGCCTTCCTACGAAATAACGTGTGTAATACATTGCTGGAATCATTAATTCACTCGCTGTTTTTTGAGGACAATTGAATTGGTAACTAATTTCTTAAGTACGACTGTTGGGAATAGCGCTTTTATATTCATAGAAGTTGGGGAAAAAATTATACTGAAAAATATTGCATCGTTTCATATATGTGTAATGAAATAAAAGTAGATAGTTAATTTGCTATCAGCTCTGTAAATGTGACTGGATCTAGAATAAAGCTGTCTTAATTGTATATCAGTCTTAATATAACCCAGACAGATGCAAGCGAGATTCTTTTAAAAGTTAAGAACCTCTTTAGTGGCTAAATTGAAGATTTCAAGCGACTTTTTCAATTGGATGGGGTATTTTTTTTTTCAAGAGCTCGACGTTTCACTTATCTGTCTTGACAGTGACGTAGTCTGGGGGAAAAGTATAATTTATTGTCTTGAAGCTGCTTAAATAAGTGAAGTGGCCTTTGAGAGGTTAATAATAACAATGATTTAAATATATCTTTATTGTATACCTAACATTATTCTGGTACGACATTAAAAACGACGCCTACTCGCTTTTTTTGTGGGTCAACGACGTTTGACTATGGCAATCTGTTGAACATTTTTTTTTATATATAATATTGTTACAGGACTATTCCAAAGAATGTGTAGCTCACGTTCAAAAATATTTAATGAAACACGAAGTACCGCCAAATCTATTCGAGGTAAAACAATGAAATGAATCGAAGGAACAATGTTTTGTTAAATTTTAGCCAATACAATGTTCATTGCTAACCAAATGTATGAAAATGTTTTAGCCTTACATCGAGGAAATATTTCAACATTTGAGAGGGGAACCGTTTAAAAATTTCTTAGAAAGGTAATATTAATGTTATTTTATACTTGATGAGAATTGATTTTATTTATATATGTGTTTTATACTTGCAGTGATAAATATACGAGGTTTTGTCAATGGAAAAATTTAGAACTAAATATACAATTGACGATGAACGATTTTAGCGTGCATCGTATTATTGGAAGAGGGGGATTCGGTGAAGTGAGTTCGCTTTTGAGTTATATATATACATATAAGTAGTAATATGTACTCCTTCCATACTTAGATAAACATGAGAGTATATATAGACTTACATTTAGAGAATCCTCTTTGGTCTCCGACAACAAACATCAACACGCTACTAAATAGTGTTTACAGTCGCCAGAGCGAGATTGGCTTGTACTAAAAGCATTGCTGTTTATAGATAATGAAAAAAAAAGTATACTTCTAAAACATACGGTCTATAATAGTATTAATGACTGTTCGATCGTTAAATAGCATTTTCTATGACCATCAAATGTATTTTATATGTTAATTAGTGTAAATGAATACTTTATTAAAGAGCTTTTTTATTAAATTTTTAAAAATAGAATGTTCATACGAAATTCAAAAATGGAATGTTTATATATATTTCTCTTATAAGGTGTACGGATGTAGAAAAGCCGATACCGGTAAAATGTACGCCATGAAATGTTTGGACAAGAAACGCATCAAGATGAAGCAAGGCGAGACTCTAGCACTCAACGAGAGGATCATGCTCTCACTAGTCAGTACCGGGGTGAGTTTACAAATAGATTTACTAATGTAAAATAATACAAACTTATAATACAGTCATTTTAATTATCATTAGACAAGTTTTTTAAATTAAGAACACATCGCATTCTTATTATGAAATGTCATAACTGTCAGCTATTGTTCTGTAATAAAAAAAAAACGGCGTCATGATTAAATACTTTTTTTTCTATTTGCACGCGGTCTCCTATTGAGAAAAATAAATATAAGCTGCCCAGTCATGTTCAATTGTACATCGAGCCAATACTTTTATCTTGAGGAAATTTCTGAATTCCTTGAAAAATGTACACATGTATTATATATACATATGTACATTTTTCATTGTATTTATATGCTTTATTAATTCATATATATTATATTATAATATATGTGATAATGTTTTGTGTACTGTAATTCTTTCATAACACGTTCGAAGTAGAGATTTATATATTTAGAACAAAGCAAACGTAGTTCAATTCGCTTCTAGTTGAAATTGCTTTTCACTGTAGCGTTTTACGCACGTGAATACTTCAAACTTTAATCTTTCAATTTTGATATTTTTTTTAGAAATATATATAAAAATGAATAATATTTCGAATTCAGAACTTTCGTTTTTGATAGTTTGTCAAAAAAGTTGGCATTTATAATAATATAAGATTTAAGGAATATTTTTATACAGGGTGACTGGTGAATTACTATCGATATTTGAGGACGTGATATTTGACGATCATATATGACAAAATAAAAATTAATATAACATAAATATTAATAAACTTCTAAGTAAAGTTAACCAAAAGTTATGTAATTAATTACGCATTGTGTGAACACCCTACAGATTAGGTACACACTGACACTCACACATACGCGTGTCGTGACGTGGTGTTGTATCAGCACGCCGCCGCACGCGTCCACACTTGAACATTTGGAACGTGTACACACTTTACTTATTTATACGGAAATTTTGTCAAAAATTAAGTGCCTATTTTTTTTACATAATTCGAATGAGAATCATGTACCGAGTATTCTCCTTAAATATTGATAGTAATTCACCAGTCACCCTGTATATTGAAAATAGGTTTAATTTTTGAACGTATGTATATAAATGTCTGAATAATTTTAGATCTTTGTTCTTGTTTAGAACGGTAGTGATACTAAGAAATTCATAATGTTTTGAAATTTGTTTTCTAATAACGAAGCTATAAATGAAAATACAAAGCAAATATTCTGAATAATAAAATCGAGAACTATTCTGGCCATTTCATAGGAATTCTAATACATGTTGTTATAGAAAATAATATTTTAAAAGGAATTACAGTTCGACAAACTGTTACAGGTTTTAATCCAACTAAATACTTCTTATGTGTAACAACTTGGTTTTATTTTCACTTATGTACTAAAGTATAAAAACATAAGTGTAAAGCAAATTAATAGTCGAAAAAAAATTATGTAAAATGCAATTAAAGATACCGCCGAGGTTATTGGCGGTCATTTCTGATATATCAATCAAATACACAATTCTTTAATTACTAAGATTACTAAGATCATATAAATAACACTATTATATATAATTGATTAATAATACTATGTTAATGTAATTCATTTATAATATTAAAACAAACTGGTTTAAATGTAATATAATTCGTGCAAGGATGTTGACCTATCATAGAAATTCAAAGTTAGAATATATCGTTAACATTTAACATCAAGTTACATATACTTTAAAAGTTTAAATCGTATCATATACCATATCATATCATGTCATATCATACACGTCACATCTAGTTGAAAGAACTATTCCAATTTTTGAACCTTGTCAGTCGTATGACTTACTAAATTGTACACATTACTAAAAGGAAATAATCCAAATATTATCTAATCTAAAATGGCATCAGTGCTATCACAATGTTCCGTGTCCATAGGGTTGTAATGCCGTACAATATATAATATATTTAGTCTTATATATGTACTAGCTTTCGGTTCGGTTCGAGTTCGAGTTCGGTTATATCGCGTTTCCAAGAGAAACTTTCAAAAGTCTGGGATAAAAACTATCCTATGTTCTTTCTCAAGGTCAACTCTATATCTGTACCAAATTTCATTAAAATCAGTTCAGTGGTTAAGGCGTGAAAGCGTAACAAACAGACAGACAGACAGAGTTACTTTCACATTTATAATATTAGTAGGGATGTTACAATACATTTGTGAAGGAACCTCGTATACGTACTATGCTTATGTTAGGAGTGACCCATGATGTATGGGAAATTTAATGTAACGTCCATATGAATTTTTTATATATAAAAGGAAGTCGTGTTAGTTACGCTATTTTCACATTACACGATTTCGCTCGTGCGGGAAAAAATCGCCCGGACAATTTTTCTTGATCGACTATTGAAGAGTACGAGACCTTTCACATTGCACGATTTGAACACGGGCACGTTTTGTAATCGTGTTGCAGCCGTCCAGTGCCACTAGAACCGCACGGCTACCGTATCGCCCTCTAGCCTAGTGGCCTATGTGACCAAATGCACGCTTTCACACTAGACGGTCTTTAGTCGTACGGGAATTGTAGAACACTCTTCAGTTTCCCATGTAACTCATCAAAGGAGCGAACTGACATACGAAAGTAGTTGAAAAACTTTTGGCCATCGTTTCTAAGATCTTCAAATAATGTGTGGAACATCCCGACTTCCTCTCGTCTCTGATTAATTGGGTGAATCCAGTGAAGGCGATTGCGCCTTTGTCTTTTCCGACGCCGATACAGTATCCATAACGCAATAACTTGTTCGCGATCCATAGTTTTCATCCAGACCCGACCAAATGTTCCAATGAACTGACAAAAATGTACGATTTTTATCGTTCAATGTGAAAGTAGCAAAACCACGATTAAAAATCGGGCAATTTTTTCCCGCACGAGCGAAATCGTGTAATGTGAAAATAGCGTTACACTATTTATAACTTAAGAACGGCTGTACGGGTTTGGCTCATAAAATAGGTGGAGAGATAATTTAGAACAAGGGAAAGGATATAAGATACTTTTCATCGGAATGAAAAAGAAAGAAAAAAAGTCGTTAAAATTCGAATTCTTCTATTTACGCCCTTTAAGTAGGAACAGAGTTCGCCCGGTCAGCTATACATTTCTAATTCTGAAACTAATACAAACGAAGTCAGTAATAGTTGAGTTATTGCATTTATGAAGAAGACTAGAAGCTATCAAGAATTAGTGATATATATTTAGCCATTTATTTCTAACTTGAAGAATAGATATGGACGAATTTATATAAATAGCGTTTTTACTATTACCTAATTATTTCATATCAATTTTTTTATAATAATATAATACTTAAAGCTTAAAAAGCTTCGAGCTCGTTCTTTAAGAAGTATAAATATTAGGATATATTTACGTTAATTGTATGTAGAGCGCGTTGTACCGCTCTCGATGCGGACAAGCTACATACTGTTACAATGTAGCATGTGTAACGTGTCATACATGAAATAATAATAAAATATTACAATGAAAATTTGCTATATTTTATCCCGTGACTTGGTTCGCGTCTTTTTTATTCGGTTCAGAGAGTGATTATTATTGTTCAGCCATTCGTGATGAAGTTTGATTATTTCAGGCATCATTTGAAAGAGCATTATATACTAACATACATAGTAGCAGGATTTTAATAACAATATTAATCCATTGGTAACAGTCTTCTAGAATATTCCAGTACAATAAAGGCCAGAAAAATGCGTTTTGTTCGTTAAATATCAGTCTTAAGAACTTCGTCAATATGAATCCTATATATAGCTTCCATATTTAAAGTTTTAGTCCCTATAGAAACAAAGTACAAAACTTAGAGATGTGACTCATTTTATCGATATATTCAAATATTATATAACTTATTGAACAAAATGTATCGTGCCATTAACGAATCTTATCATATCGTAAAACCGAACGTATGTTATAAACGATAATTCAGTTTGCAGCTGTGATTGTTTATCGATATCGATAGTTCTGATACATTACGTCACAATGGCCGCAGGTTAGAGGTTATAGCAGCTCATAAATGATATCCAACCAATTGGACTGAAACGAATTGGCTCGCCCTCAATTTGCCCTCGTGCTTCAACCGGCATCCGTCGCTTTTTATTCAACAAATACATATTCACTATTGAATTATCATTTTTTTTTCATTACCGCACTAATCTATATGAATTCCTTAATATGTATTACTAGCTTTTGCCCGCGATTTTGTCCGCGTTAGTTTCATAATTACAAATGTATAGCTGACCAAGCGAACTGTTTCGATTTACAGGCAATAATTTAACAAATGTTGGATTATACAGGGTGACTGGTGAATTACTATCAATATTTAAGGAGCATACTCGGTACATGATTCTCATTCAAATTATGTAAAAAAAATAGGTACTTAATTTTTGACAAAATTTCCGTATAAATAAATAAAGTGTGGATACGTTCCAAGTGTTCAAGTGTGAAGGCGTGCGGATACAACACTGCGTCGCGACACGCGTATGTGTGAGTGTGAGTGTATACCTAATCTGTAGGGTGTTCATACGATGCGTAATTAATTACACAACTTTTGGTTAACTTTACTTAGAAGTTTATTAATATTTATGTTATATTAATTTTTATTTTGTCATATATGATCGTCAAATATCACGTCCTCAAATATCGATAGTAATTCACCAGTCACCCTGTATAAGCAATTTTTTTTTGGTCACACGAATTCAAAAGAATCCTATGTCCATCTCCTGATTTCAACCTATTTCCCAACAAATTTCCATCCAAATTCCTACAGCCGTTCTTGAGTCATAAACAGTGTAACTAACACGATTTTCTTTTATATATATTATTTTAAGTTGAATATTTTTCCACTGATTTCGTTATTCTCTAAACGTACTTATTTTATATAGTTTCGAATACAGTGTTTTCTTTTGTTATTCCATTGAAACTTTCTGTTTGTGTGTCATAGCGATAGTTTTAATCCAATTATATCTATAACTTTCCTTTCTCTAGATAGTTTTGTATGTGGGACAGACGACAAATATATTTTTATTCTACATATATAGTTCACTGACTTTTCTTGTTGAGTTTTAATAAGAATTTATTTAAAAGAATCAAATAGATGTCGTCATATAAGAAAAACCATTGAGCAATATAGATGTCCTTCTTTTATATTTCTAATAAAGCAAATTTCTAATACATTAAATAAATTTCTATTAATAACACGAATGAATCTCATCTGTATGTACATTAAATACTTCTATATAGTTACCTACGTCACCGTGCCATATCCCGAATATATATTTGACTGGCTTCTAGTTAAATTCATCTAATGTCTAAGCTTATCTTTACGAGCGTTTGTCTGGTAGTCGGGCGCCGCTTCGTCTCTAGTGGAACAAATAGCTCTAATACGATCACGGCTATCTTCAAACTACATGCCCTATAGAAAATGAATTACACTATAATACAGTTAAACGGATAATCAGAAATAAAATGTTTTTAATACCTTTATGAAGACAAAATAATTATAAGCTTTATTGTATTGTTCTATGATGAAGCTTATAAAACATTATCTCCAAATTCACTGTACGTAACCGGGTTTTGATTATCAGTATCGATAACGGTGTAGATAACTGAAGTGGTAACAATAATGATTCGATCACTGTACTCGGTGAAGTACGTCGATAATTTTATATGGTACATCAGTAAAATCGGTGTTTTTGGTAGGTACATCGGTAATAACGTTTGGACTAGTAATTTCGATATGATTCAAACGTCGCTCGCTAGTACGGTCACCGGATAAACAATGTCTATTAATCAAAACGGTTTAATATTTCCGTTTGCCGTTATAAGTCGTCATAATTCCGATATGGTTTATTCGTCTCATGCTATTCCGCATTTCGTCTAGCCAATGCGTCAAACTATGTTTGTTTTCGTTTATGAGGAATTCTGTATCAACTGAAAACAATACGTTTGCCAGTTTAAATGATACGTACCTAGCTTATGACCATGCATAAACAATTGTGTTTTTTTAAGCCAATCGGTGTTCTATATTTTGAATTTATTTTTTCATATAACACACTGTGGAATATTAAATTCAGCCTAAATATAAAACAATTCAATTTTTTTTGATCAGACATTATGATTTAAATTTTGATGCATTTTTATATCTTCATATTTCTATTGTATAAATCACGAGATGTTTTTTTACAATGCCTAATCGGAATCTAGAATAAGTTGAATTAAATATTTAAAATTGTCAAGGATTTCATTCATACAACCTCGTTTAAACGAACACGTTTGAATGAATGAATATTTTTGCCATTCATTAAAATTTTCAATTCCAAATTAAAGCGAATCAAACAAAAGTTTTTATATGAATGGAAAACCAAAAGGGTCGGTTTATATTTGAGGATGTACGCATCCAAGTTAGTTCGTGTGACTAACATTACCTAAGTTATACAATAGCGATGTTATAATTCCTCTAACCTTATATTCCAGGTGGACTGTCCTTTCATAGTGTGTATGACGTACGCGTTCCACACACCAGACAAGCTCTGCTTCATATTGGACCTCATGAACGGTGGTGATCTTCACTATCACCTCTCCCAGCACGGCGTATTCAATGAAGCTGAAATGAAATTCTATGCAGCTGAAGTAATATTAGGTGATATATTTATATACTAGCTGCGCCCCGCGGTGTTATACGCGGATATCCGGGATGTAAAGTATATATGTTATTCCTGGACGTCAGCTTCCTGTATACAAAATTTTATCAAAATCGATTCAGCCGTTTGAGCATGAAGAAGTAACAAACATGCACACATACTCACAAACTTTCTCAATTATAATGTTAGTAGGATAATGTTAGTTAAATGCTATCCTTGTACCAGTTATTTTAGCGTGGTACAGAGTAATAAGTTGAAAGTTTTGTTCAATGTCTCGCAATCTTCTCTAGTTTCAACTTTTAATGGACGCCGTCAAGAATTTAATGTTGGTACAATGTTCAAAACAACACTGAACTGCAAGTTATTTGAATAATTGTTTCTCATTATTTAGCTGTGATATTTCTTTGTAATACTTTGTATATGGAATTTTCCAAAACTATTCTAAATATTATATACTGTAGTTGAATATAGATTTCTTTTATACACTAACGGGAATCGAACTTGCAACCATTAGGATATTTTGTTCTATTTGCTTTGCCAATTAAACTATCGTATTCTACCTCTTAAAATATTTTTGTACCGTTAAATGCTTACAACAATCATATTGCGGTAACCTGAAACATAGTTTTTGTTTATAGATGCGCAATTTTATTTTAGATAGCTAATTACATTTATTTATAAAAAACGTCATTCAAAATTTACCACAATTTCAAAAAAAATCTGAATCGATGGTGTCAGAAATACATATATGTATGGATAAAGACACAGGTCGTTTTTGTTCCAAACGTCATTGGCTCATATAAAATTATTATTCCATTTAGTTGTAACGTCTTTCGGAGCCAAAATTAGACGAATAATTTTCCCGAATACCTTTCGGTATATCAAAACCCGAATATTCTTATTCGGTTTAAAATATTGGGTACATCTCTACTTTTAATAGAACTCCAATTTATTAATTGTCTGTAATTGGCAGCCATTTAGATTATAGAGCGGGCAACACAATGCGTTCCTGATTAACTTTTCAAACGTACGATGATTAAATTGGTTTATGTTGTTCATTGTACATATTTTAATAGGAATTAATGTTTAACCTTGCCATCATATTGCATGTTGTTAAAATTGTTTCAATTAAATATAATAACTGCAATGAAAATTTCATATGGAAGCAAGGTTATTTTTTTTTAAATTAGGATAATATTTATTAGAAGAAGATTAAGCCTAATTTATATATGGTTATGGTTAAAAAAGTATATTTTATTTGGCGTATTAAGATTCCAATTATGATTTGAGCCTTTTTTTTTTTTTTTTTTTTAACGGGTGGGAAATCCTCATGGATACCACACGCCCCGGGGGGGGCGTGTGATTATGCCGGACTCTTACCGGCTAAAACCCACCCGGTTACCTTCAGCCGCTATGAGGGGACTACAAGGGGTCGCTTGCGCATTCTACCTCGTAGCCCCGGCGACAGCGACCCGCTCCTAAGGCGGGTCTCTCCCTATGTGAGGGCGCTCCGGTAAACTTGAGCGCCCTTCCTCCAGGAGGCCAGTGACAGCAGGGCGGACGGTCCCCCGACCAGTCCACCCTCTGACCTCCTAGGTGGGCGGAAGGAGGTGGGGCGTACCTCCTCCTTCTCACCCCGAGGCGGCGGCGGCGCATCTGGTCCGAGTTGATGTTAGATTCTCGGACCCGCTCCGCCTCCTCCTTCTGCATCAGGACGACTTCGCAGAAGGAGGTCATGGCCCTCCAGTTCTCCTCACTCTCGAGCATCGACGCCAGGATACTCGAGAGCGCGAGGTCGGTGCCAACCACTTGCGTGAGGTCGTGACGCTGACGACTGAAGGCTGGGCACACTTCGAGGGTGTGCCGTGGCGTGTCATCAACGTCTCCGCAGTGGTGGCACTCCATCGTCGGCTCGCGCCGAGCGATCCTGTGCAGGTAGTGTCCGAAACAACCATGTCCGGACAAAACCTGCACCAGCCGGTAGGTGAGGACGCCGTGTTTGCGCCTCGACCAACGCTCGAGGACGGGGAGTAGAGCGTCGATCGTCCACCGGCCGTACTTCGCCTCCTGGAGAGCCATGGTCCACCTCCTGTGCATCTCCGCCTCGCCGTCGCGGCGCACTTGGAGCAGCTCTTCGTTCGTCGCAGGACGGTTCTCCCTCCGGGCCGCCGTCCTAGCCTCGTATATAGCGGCCAGGACCTTCGCCTCGAGGTCCCAAGGGGGCGTTCCGGCTAAGGCGCAGGCCGCTCCCGCCGACACTGTACGGTAGCCCCGGATTATCCTCACCGCCACGATCTGCTGTGCACGCTGGAGCAGCGATCTATTGGTGGCGGTGATGGCGTCGGCATAAATTGGGGCACCGTACAACGCCATGGAACGAACGACGCCGGCGTACAGGCGCCGGCAACCCCCGTTCGGGCCTCCGAGGTTGGGTAAAAGCCGCCCTAGAGCTGCTGAGGCGGCCACCAACCTGGGGGTGAGGACGCGGAAATGTGCCTCAAACCCCCACCTCCCATCCAACGTCAGGCCCAGATATTTCATCTGGGCCTTGACTGGGACGCGCACGCCACCGATCTCAATGTGCGCGCCCGGAGGAGGCCCTGCCCGAGGCCCATGGAACATGAGGGCCTCGGTCTTTTCTAGGGCCACTTTCAGGCCTAAGAGGCGGATGCGACTGACGACTAAGGCTGTACCTTCCTCGGCCAGTCGCGCCGCCTCCCCGAAGGTCCTTCCTTCGGCTACGACTAGGGTGTCATCTGCGTAACACAGGGCGCGTACACCTTGTGGCAGCGCACCCTGCAACACCCAGTCGTAGCCAATGTTCCACAGGAGTGGACCTAGCACCGACCCCTGTGGAACCCCACACAACACCTGGCGGCGGAAACTCCTTCCACCAGCACCAGTGCAGACTACCTCTCTATACCGGAGGTAGTCTGCCAAGATCCTCCGGAGGTAGGGAGGCACTCTGAAATGGCGGAGTGCCTCCATTATGGTTGCATGGGGGAGGCTATTAAAGGCGTTGGCGATGTCTATTGAGACGGCCAACGCCCTGCCCCCTCGCGCGACAACCTCCTTTGAGTGCGACTTCAGGGCAGATAGGGCGTCCAGTGTCGAGCGCCCTGCCCTGAACCCGAACTGACAGTCTGACAGTCCGGGCCCGTCGACACCCAAGTGCTGAGTGAGCCGGAAAGAGAGCACTCGCTCAAAGATCTTTCCGGACTCACTCAAAAGGACGATCGGACGGTAACCGGACGGGGAGTCTTCCGGTTTACCGTCCTTACGAAGGAGGCACAGCGCCCCGTCCTTCCACGTTTTCGGGAAGCGCCCGGAAATTAGAGCTGTATCGAACGCTTCCCGAAACTGATCCCCGAGTCTTTTAAGGGCGATCCCTACCAGTTTGCCAGGGACCCCATCTGGACCCGGGGCCGTCCTTTTTGTCAAGAGGCACCTCGCTGCCTCTTCCAATTCATCAGAGGTGACAGGAGGGGCCTCCAAATCGTCCTCCTCTGCCTGAGCCTCTGAGGGGACCATTTCTGGAGGAGTGTGGTCCGAGCCGTCGGAGGGGAAAAGAGCACCGATGACCCGGTCCAGAAACTCTGGCTGGAGGGTTTCCGATATGGGGCGCGACTGGACGCGGAGCTTCTTCCGCGCCAGTTTGTACGGGCGCCCCCATGGATCACGGTTGAGATCCTTCAGCAACTCCTCCCTTGCCGCGGCCTTGGCCCCGCTGATGGCTGTACGTAGGGCCGCCTTAGCCGCCCGGTACCGCTCATCGAGGAAAGCCTCCTCGATTACATCCCTGCGGGCGCGACGGCGGCAGCGGTATAACTGTCGCCTTGCATTATTGCTGGTGGTCCGAAGCGCATCAATCTCCGCTGACCACCAGTACACCGCCCGCCTCTGAGGGCGGCGTCGCGCCCGGGGCATGGACGCATCGCACACCGCCGTCAGCGCAGAGCGGAGGCGTCTCGCGGCGGAGTCGGGGTCCATCAGCCTGATGGAGGGAGTACACCAGGCTTGGACGGTTGCGGCCTCCTCGGCCAGTTGCCGGTCCAGCCGAGAGAGAACCCACCGCGGAGAGGCCGTCAGAACACGTTGGAGGGAGTTCTCGGCCGGAGCAGGGGACGTGGAGATCTCGAACCTTATGTAATTGTGGTCCGAGAGTGTCTCCACGTCGAGGACACGCCAGTTCCTCACACGGCGCGCAGCAACAGGGGTGGCGAACGTGACGTCCACCACCGAACCGCCCTGCGCACGCACGCACGTGTGGGTTGTGCCCCGATTGACCGGAGTCACGCTGAATTCAGCGGCCCACTCCTCCACCGCTCTCCCACGTGGATCCGTGACCGCGCTGCCCCAGCTGGAGGACTTAGCATTCAAGTCCCCGAGTACAAAGACCGGCAAGGGAGCCAGTCTCCTGACCACGGGACCTAGGGCTTCAAGATAGGCCTCTAAGGCCGCCAGGGGCTTGTTGGGGGAGAAGTACACGCCAACGAAGGCGTACCCTCCCCAGGTGGCGGCCACGTAGCCCCGCCCCGACTCTTTGAGGACGAGAGAAGGACTGCCAGCTCCTCCCCCCGAAACTATGGTCACGAGGCCGTCCACATCCCCTGCCCAATTCGGGTGGTCATTGGGGACAAAATATGGCTCCGCGACCACTGCCAGACCGATCTGCCACTCCACCAGGTGCTGAAGGAAAAGGTCCTGTGCACCGGCGGAGTGGTTCAAGTTGCCCTGAAGGAGATTGTGATTGCAAGCCATCAAGGTTCCTTCATCACAACCTCCGGTGTCCCTTGTTGGGGCTCGACCTGGCACGGGGCAGCGACGGTTCTTTTCGCTGCCTTCGATTTAGTTGGGGGTGGGCGGCAAGCCCTTCCCCCCATGGTGTGCGTTGACGGTCGGCCCGCCTCGGCGCATACAACACACCTGGCGGGTGCGAGGCATCCGGCAGCTTTGTGCCCGGCGACACCGCACCTGTGACACAAGTCGCTCCTGTCGCATAGTGATGGACACGTGGACCGGGTGTGGTCTGTGCCCATACACTTAAAGCAACGCATCGGACGAGGCTCAAGTGCTTGGACTTTCGCCGAGCCCCATCCGATGCTGAGCGGCCCCCCGCCGACCAACTTCTTCGCGGCCGTGACTGGGCACACGACTAGCGCCCACCGTTGACCGCGAGGTCCCATGCGGACAGGGCCCACCTTGATCGCACTAGTAGGGCATCCTCCCTTCTCGGCCACCGCTGAAGCGATGCGGTCCGGTGTAACGGCGTCGCTGAGGCCAGTGATGCGGAGGTCCGCAGTCTTCACTGGCCTCCGTACCCTGGCCACCTCTCCAACGACCTCCTGCAGCTTCTCCGCGAGAAGGTCGGCCTTCTCCCCGCTCTGCATGCCCGGGACCTCAAACATGCGGGCCCCGGTGCTGGTCACCCTGAATTTCAGAGCGCCAATGCCAAGTTGCCCCAGGTCAATGGCGCTCTGTGCCTTCTCTAGCACCTGCTGGTAAGTGACCCCCCTCTCTGTGGCCTCCGGTGTCAGTGTAATGGACACAGCGGACGATTTGGGGGGGGTCAGCTTCACCTCCTTCTTTTTGACCTTACCGGCGGAGGGATCCGGCTGAGCCTGCTTGGCACCGGACGACGGCTTCTTCTTCTTCTTACCCTTTCGGGTGACCGTCGTCCAGGCCTCACCACGCGCCTCGTCCGTCACGGTGGACGGAGGGGATGTGGTGGCACTAGGACCAGCCTTCTTGGCCGACGCTGCGATCCTTTTTTGGGCGGCACCGGAGCCTTTTTGGCCTGCGCCGGGGCCTTCTTGGCCTGCGCTGGAGCAGGGCCCTTCTTGGGACCGGGGTCCTTCTTCGAAGACGCCTTCTTCGCCGCTTGGGCTGCGGCTGGTTTGGAGGGCCCGGCCACCGGTTCCACCTCCCTCCTTAAGTCCGCCTGTAGTGGCGGACGGACCCTCTTTGCCGGAAGAAGGCGGTCCTCCAGGCCAGCGATGCGAGCATTGATCATCTCACCCATGGTGAGAGTCAATGCCCGCTGCAGCTCTCCCAGCATATCCGAGATGCCGAGGGGAGGCTCTGTCGCCGGCGCGGGCTCACGGGCAGGGGACTTCTTCCTTTCAGAGAAGTCCCTCCTGAGGGCCCTGAGTTCGGTCCTCAGGTGCTCGTTCTCGTTCTCGAGACGAGCATTGTTTGCCCACAAGCGCCGCAACTCCTCCGAGGCCGTCCGATTAGCGAGCATCTCAACTATGTCGCTCATAGTTTGGGCGGCCTCCTTGATGTCCCTCACGTAGGGCCCCTTGAGGTTGTTCGACGTTTTCGCGACGTTAAAAAGTCGAACAACGCACTGATCGGCAAGGGACTTGAGTTCCTGTCGGTCCAGGGAGTTTATCGTGGGCCTAGGGCTTGTAGAGGAGCTCCTAGCCGTCCCAACCAAGGCATTTCTGTAAGAGGGGCCGGGGCAAGGCTCCTCCTCAGAAGCAGATGTCAAGTCCGTTTTGGCAGCGGGCCTCACGGACGCAGACGAAGGGGTACGTGCGCCCCTACCCCTACGAGCAGCCGGCTTCTTTTTAGCAACAGCGCCCGCGGGGTTCTCTGCGTCCGATTCTCCATACAGGACGGTGCTGGGCCTCTTCATAGGCGTCGCAGTCACCGTCGAGACTGTTGAATGCATGGAGGCATCCGACATCGACCCGTCGTCGTCTCTAGGTCCAAATCCGGGAGTGGGGGTGACCGGCCTTGAGACAGTGTCCGAGTCCCCCCCAGAGTGGCCCTTAGAAGAGCCTTCCTTCGTTTTTAGGAAGCGACCCCTTAAGACGCGAGGAGGTAGGGCAGAAGGAGTCATAGCTCGCTTCTCACCTCCATCAGATCTCTTCCGCAAGTCCGTTAAACATGCCGTGTCGTCAGTGTCCGATCTCGCAACAAGTCCTTTCCGTAATGTATCGGAGTCCGTCAAGAGTGCCATGTCGTCAGATCCAGTCCGTGTCAGCATTTCATTTCCGTTAGTCGCGCCAGGGTCCGTGCCCACTGCACCTCGTCTCAGAGGGCCCTTAGAGGAAGGACCCTCCAGGCGTTTGCTGCCCCCCCCAGAATACGAGGGGCTGACCGGCGTACCGGTGAGGGATTCCCCAACCACTTGGTGGCTGGGACCCTCCTGGGGTAGTTTTTTTCCACAAGACGCCATTTCATAAGTTTTTTTGTTGGTGGTGTTCTTAGGACGAGCTCACCCGCTCGCCATGCATCCCAAGACCGAACACCGAAGTCAAAGATTAGGGGCCGTAAAAGCCCATCCATCACCATACATCCATCCACATTCATAAACCTTTCATTTCCGCATCCATCCACATTCATAAAAACCTTCCATTCATCGGGCTGAACCCCCAGCCCTGACCAAGACCCCAAAAGAGGGCCAAGGTCCCCCTCCCCGTGACTGACTGCGCCGGTTACCCGGCGGGCGATGGATTCGTCACTTCCCGACGCCAACCTAACCTAACCTAACCTAAACCTAACCTAACCTAACCTAAACCTAACCTAACCTAAGCCCACCCCACCCCGCGACTGATTGCGCCGATTACCCGGCGGGCGATGGATTCGTCACTTCCCGACGCCAGAGGTGATTTTTTAGAGTGGTTTTCTTCCACGCGACCCCCGCCCTCGCCTGAGGGCAGCAGTCCTCGGCCCTGTACTATGTACAGGGTTACGAGTTTGACGACCCGGCAAGCCGAGTCGTCACTGGTTTTGGTCCACGCCGCCTAGCCGGTAACCCCCATATCTGGGAGCCGTTCCCCTATCCGCCACCTGGGGACGCGCCCGGTAGCAGTACCAGAAACTGCCCCGGGAATTATGATTTGAGCCTGTCTTATTGTTAAACAAACGGTTATATGTACATACTTATATATTTGGAAAAAATATTATTTCTGTTAATATCATGATTTTGTGCCTGTAGAAATATGAATGAATTCATTTGCTAATATATTTTATTGATAATAAATGAGTAACTATGATGTGTTGGTACGTTTGTTACTCAAAGTTATTGAAAAATTATAATAGGTATACCGAGTTCGATGAAGTCAGAAATCGTAACATTTTATTAGTTTTATATGAAAAATTTGCAAACAATTATTTTGTTTTCGAAAGAAAATTTAAATGGATTATGTTAAATACATTGAAATTCCTCATTTCTCAATTTATTTGATAAATAAGAAAATGAAGTTCCGTGCAGTTTTTACTAAGCCATACCAAAAATTTAATTTAGACTTATTATACTTTGTTATTAGATTAAACATTGTTATTAGATTTAAATATAAAAATAAAACAAAAATACATATATTTCAATTCTAACGTAATAACCGTCTGTCCAATGATTCAATAAAACTTTTTTAATATAAAAATAAAAAAACATTATTATTATCATTACAGGTCTTGAACACATGCACAAGCGTCACATAGTGTATCGTGATCTGAAGCCAGCGAATATCTTGTTGGATGAGCACGGTCATGTCAGGATATCGGATCTGGGGCTCGCATGTGACTTCTCAAAGAAAAAACCTCACGCCAGCGTGTGAGTTATAATATTAGGGGATGTTATCCTATAATATAGTAGTAAACACCATCAAAATTAATGATTTTTTACACAGCCAGCAGATATTTGGTACTATTTGGAAAAAAAAAAATGATAACTTTTATTTTACTTCTATATATTTCTTAGTATGAAATAATTCATACAATATGCATAACTAATTTTTCATATATGGATTTTATATATTTTTTAAAATCTTCTGTCTATTACTTTGAATAATATGGTGTGACCCTATTTCTAAATAATATTTTAATCATCTAAGACTGCTTCTCCTAATTTATATTAACTATCTTCAAAATTCCTATCAAACAGCCTAACTAATACTGAAATCTGGTAGTGTTGTTAAATTCAAATTTATTTCAACATATTCTTTCTGATATCACAGTCATCATTTCTCTCCCATAAATCAACTTTAAATCTATTCTCATAAGAAAGATATTAACTCAACCATCAATATTTATATTCTATACATACAAAGGGTGATATAAATTTTTCACATGTTTCATTAATATTACAAGAACGATACTTTTTGTACAATATATATAACTATTTTTTGTCCGCGACTTCGTATGCGTGGACAACAATATTACATTGTTAAAGCAATAGACATGCTAACTAAATGGCAAGGACAAACTGTCACGATCCTTCATACAAAATACAACTATAATATGGTGATTCCTCGATTATTTAATGAAAATCACTTGTCTTTTATAATATTACTTGCATTATCAAATCTCATAACAATTGTTTATATTTATAACATATTATTTCAGTGGTACACATGGATACATGGCCCCAGAAGTTCTCTCAAAGGGCACTGGTTATGATTCATCAGCTGATTGGTTCAGTTTCGGCTGCATGCTGTACAAGCTGCTCAAAGGTCATTCACCCTTCCGCCAGCACAAGACCAAGGATAAACACGAAATAGACAGGATGACACTCACTATGGTAGTAATTGTCGATTTTTGATTATTTTGTTTCTTATTACATATTTAATACGGGTGAGTTTTGTTTGAATCGTCATTAATTGGTTAATAAAGCTTTTATGTATGCCAATTTTTATATATTATGACAATTATGATTAGTACAAGGATATTCAGTTTTTTTTTTTTGGTAAGCATAATTATATTTTATAGTGTATGAAACATCTCTAGAGTATATAATGTGGAAGGTTATATATACATGTAAATTTATTTTATATACTTTAATTCTATTATTATTCTTATAATTGAACAGAATGTGGAGCTGCCGGAATCATTCAGTCCTAGTCTGAAAAGTTTATTAGAAGGTCTACTGCAGCGGGATATCAATAAACGTCTCGGTTGTAAAGGAAGGGGGTGAGATAAAAAACATAATATACATTATATATAGTTCTTCATATTAAATAATTCATTACTAGTATCTTTATAACTATAATGTAAGTATTGTTAGGGCTTAATTAGTCTAAGACACTTAAATGTTGCACACATTAAGCTTTAAACTCTTATTTGCATTCTCAAAAATTATTCAATTGTATGAACTCTTGGCTTACTAGAAAATATATATTTATATTTTTAAATTCTATTTTGTTGTCTTAGACATAAGATTTAATGTAGTAAGTTGCATATTCACTTCATAGGCTAAGTTCCTAAATAATATAACTGAGTTTAGTTTTAATTTCATTCACAGTAATATTAAAAATAACAAAATTATTAAATTGCTAATTCTTCACACATTAAATATAAAATAAACAGCAATATACAATATAAATATTGTATAAGTAATTTTCAAAGGAAAATTTAAGTCCTGTATATTTAGTCTATCATAGGTATTAATGATGAAACCTCCTAAATAAAAAATATATAATATTACAGCGCTGATGAAGTAAAGGAGCACGTTTTCTTCGCTGGTATCGACTGGCAGCAGGTGTACCATCAGAAGTACACTCCTCCTCTCATACCGCCGCGGGGAGAGGTGAACGCAGCAGACGCCTTCGACATTGGCAGCTTCGACGAGGAAGACACCAAGGGCATCAAGGTTATATACATATAATTACAATACATAACATGCATTTAGGTTAATGTTTTATTTGATAATCGAATATGTTCCAACGTTTGTGCATAATATGTATTAAGATTGACGTTCTATTGAGAAATATTTGAAAATGGAATATGTGTTATGGTTTGCACATAAAGTGTGTTAAGGTTGAGGTTTGATCAAGATGTATTTGAAAATCGAATATGTTCCACTTTCTGTGCATAACGTGTATTAAAGTTGAGGTTCGATAAGATATATTTGAAAATCGGATAGGTTCCACCATTTGTGCGTAATGTGTATTAAGCAGTGGCGGCTGTACCTTAAGTGCGCTCGTGCGCTGAACCACCAATTCAAAAGATTTAAAAATTACAAAATATTACTTCATCTTTATTTTTAAATAACCATTTTAATATTTATTTTTAAAGCATATAAAAACGTATAAAATTAATCTAATCATCTGATTATGGTCAAAAAGTTTGAGCGCTTTACTAAACTAATATCGTGCGCTTCAGCGAGCGCACGAGGACTGCTAATACATCTTGTATGAGATACGCATTAATACGCCTGACGCGTGAAACAAAAGATAGTTCATAGAAATGTACCGAGTAATGAGTCTGTTCTCGAGCGCCGCACGAGCGGCCGAAGATTACCGAGAGCACCCGATGTATGACGAATTGGAATTAAAAAGAATCAAAACTTTTCTCCGAAATACCATGCACTTGCTAAATGCACTTTCTATGCTTAGTATTGAAAAAAATAATTTTATAAACAATACCCGATTTTAATAAAAAGGTGATTAAACATTTCGCTTCATAAAAATGTTGTCGAATTGATTTAATGTTTAAAAAATAAACATATTTTATGTAAATTGGTTTTTTGTTGTATTTTGTAATTTTAATATTTTATTAAAGTGCACCACCAGTTCGATAACCCACCAGCCGCCACTGGTATTAAGATTGAGGTTTTACTAAGAAATATTTGAAAATGGAATATATTTCATGGTTTGCGCAGGTTGAGGTTTGATTGAGACAGATTCGAAAATCGAATATGTTCTATCGTTTGAATTTGCTGTCAGGCTATAGTTTTAAAAATTAGAATTTGAAAATGGTATGTTTACAATAACAAGGAGATGAGGTTTTATAATTTTTGGATGTATTCGAGATTTGGTATCTGATGAAACTAAAATATGTTACTTTAAATGTAAAGTGAATTTCAATTATTTATATAATATTGGTACAAATGAACTATAAGTTTAGTTTGTTTCTAGTGTTCTTTTATAAGGGTCAAAATATTTTGATGTTTGAGCATTTTTTTTTTATATATTAGGGAATAACAAATCATAAGCCACATGAATCATAACACATTACATTTTTAATTAACGGAATATTTTTAATTCGTTAGCTAACAGAAGCTGATCAAGCACAATACAAGGATTTCCCTCTCGTTATATCCGAACGCTGGCAGTCCGAGGTAGCCGAGACTGTGTTCGAAACTATCAATCAGGAGGCAGACAAAATGGAAATGAAGAAGAAATCCAAGCAGAAGCAAAAGTTTGATGCCGACGAAAAAGGTAATAATATGATCTCTTAATAATATGAGATACATAAGTAGAAAATAGAGCGAAGTGAAAGTACTACTAGATCATAGAAAAGTGATTCAATAATACAATTATAACTATTCTTAAATCTTTGTGTTTGATCTGTCATACTAAATTAAGAACGATAATACATGTTCTTATAAACTGTATACCCACCGACATAACGCTTACAACAGTAGAACTACTAATAATCTGAACTAATATATAATTTCAGAATCAGACTGTATTCTCCACGGCTATATAAAGAAACTAGGTGGGCCATTCGCCAGCGCCTGGCAGACGAGATACGCTAAGTTGTATCCGAATCGTCTTGAGCTACATTTGGAGAACAGCGCGAAACCTGAAATGATACTCTTGGATACAGTGGAGGAAGTTTCCTCAGATTTTGTGTCCATTAAAAGCGAACAGTGCATCGTTCTACGGACTAGGAACGATACTAAAATTGTACTCACTAATACTGTAAGTAAAAATTGTTTTGTTTTTGTTCTTATTATTTCATTCTTCTATCTGGCAATTTCCCAGCTTTAGCCAGGGTCTGTCTTACATGTTGTGAATAGTTTTGGATAATTGATTTTACAACCGGCCGCCTGCCTGACATCAACCCGCTTTGGGAATGAATTAATCAGTGATGTCTAAATATTCTTAGAAAGTACATATGACTCGGAAAAGTCACATTGGTACTTGCCAGGATGCATGCATGAAAAGCGGGCCCTTTAATCACTAGGTCACTCCTGACTTATTATTTCATTATATTGGCTAATGTTACATTTAGTTCATTAATCGCTTTAATAATCAAATTATTAAATTGAGGTCATAAATAAAAAAAATGAATGTAATATTATATGATTTTGTACGATATTTTTCCTTGATTTTGAAGACTCTTTAGTTTTTAATTTAATCTCAAAATTTATTTGTTTCGTATTGTAATTTATAATTTCTGATTATAATTCCAGGATGAAATAGGTCTTAAAGAATGGGCGTTGTCTCTGAGGTCGGCTCACAAGTGTTCCCAAGAACTTTTAGCGTCTATGGCGAAGAAGGCCGGCAAGATATACGGAACGGATGGCGCCAAAGAATCTATTGCCTTAGGAAGACCGCTTCCGGCCGCCTCGCCCGCGCTAACACGAGCTCCAAACGGAAGTAACTAGCACGAGCTTTCCGCGCCTAATAAAGGCGCGAAGATGTTCCGACGCTCCAAGAGCGCGGCTCAACTCATCAAGTGAGCTGAAAAAGGAACATATATCACATATGAAGTGTTCGAACTGGTATGAGTTCATTTATATGAGCATACATTTAAATAAAACTATATCATAACAGATTCATTTACTATCGGATCATTAATTGAATGTTCGAAATTTAAAATGTTATCCGATTCCGTATTGAATGTAATGATATAGTTTTTTTTATAATGTAAATGTCCGGACCGCGTTTGGAACTAAAGTGGTGTGTTAGTGTCTGGTTCATGATTATACTAGATTCGTGCTATTAGTAAGAGCGTACGTATATTGTTAGTATGGACTATAGAGACTATTAGGACTGCCAATTATTACTAAATAAATGCTGTTCGCATTAACTTTGTTGAACGAATTAAATGGATTATAGTTGCATACAATTTAATGAAATGTATAAAATTAAATTCATTTTACAGTGACTATATAATGTGAGAAAAACATTTTGTAATGGTATGCACTGATTAAAAATTTTTGTAATTATTAATGTAATATTCTGGATGTTGTATTTAACTATGTAAAGATTATATTGATTAAATGCAAAACTTAGTGGATATAGAAAATAACTATTTATGTCTGTGTTTGTGCAATAGATAAAAATACTAAAAATTATTATAAGTAATTTGAATTAATGCCATTGGTAAATAATAATAATGATAAAAAAAATTAGAATGTCTCGACATTTCTATTCAAAATTAAATTAATATATATAATTATAGATGCTTCAAATTAATAAAGTAATTGTAATTAGAGATTTCTAGCACTTCTGTTCCAACAATCTATTGCACACAATATATTGTATACATATTATATTGTATTTATGTTTACAGGTGGCTCTCTTGTGCAATTTAATAATTTTATTATATATATTATATTAGCTAAATCAAATATGCAGTTACGTTATTTACTATGAGGTACTTAAATAATATATTTGTTTATGATATACAGTTGAATATGCAATAAGTTTGTTATTTATTCAAATAGAATCCATTGTAAGTAGGATTATAAAGAAATCTCTTCTTTATTATACATAGAGGCAATACTTTTCTAACAATCTTAGATGTGGTAATAGTTGTGAAGTATTAGTGAAGTTATATGATATTCCATGTTGGTGATTTTAATTTTGGCCACGAATTTGTGGATTTTACAGTGACATTTGTATGTTTTTATAACAATGCAATTTATTTTTTCAAGGAATGTACTGTGTCTGATGCAGATTTAGTTGTTCGTTGTTGTGACATAAACTTTTTTAACATATTTATCTAAGGTATCTAATGCATTGGACTCGCTTCATTTTTTTATCTAAATACTATGCTAATTTCATATGTAATTTCGTCATTAAATCTCATACAAGTAACACTAGATGATTAGTACTAGCAAAAATGTATGGGGTGATTGTATTGTATGGAGATATAAGTATGGATGATATCATGAATTTGTAGTAATAGAGAAAAATAGTATAAAAAATTGACGCAATAAAAACTTTAATTGTACATAATATATTAAAGTAATTTAAGGTACATGAACAACCTATTAGCTAGTATGTTAGGTAATGCCATGCATGTTTCTTTTGCCGGTTATATTTCTTATAGTGAACGGTTTATGGTATGTTCTTGATCGATATTAAAACCAGTGAGTAGATAGTTGTATGATTAGCAGTTTCACAAATTAAATAGTTTCAATATGTAAATAGTTTGACTTTCATATTATGTATTGTATAATATTGGCTAAAGTTTTAAAATAAACATCATATTGTTTTTTTTTATTTCTAGTTTTAATTAACTTTTAGCTAATTTAATGCAACAATATATAATTATGTTAATATTTTAATGGTAAATTTAAATAAGTCGAGTTTTTTTTTTGTCTTATATAACTAAAATAGACTTTTAAAGTAAGGATATTTATTGTATTTGTAAGTTTTGTTTTGTACCTTTTTATATGATTAACATTTCATTTGTTTACAAACCGTATGTTAGTTGAATTAATTAGATGCTAGTCAATTGAATTTACAGAATTGGACAATTTAATGAATTTATTATGAAAATTGTAACAGCCGTATGGCTTGAACAGTATTATAGGTTAGGTTGTTTGATGAAATCATTCTTGCGAATGTGATAAAATGGATTTTTTTAATCAATCACTATGAGGCTTTAACATACTGCTATCGTTTAATTAACTCTTATATATTATATATATCGGTTCCACAATAATGCTTTAGAAGCAGTCACATAGAGTTCAAATATTATTATTATTTTTTTTTAACAAAAATAACAGGCCAAAAGTGGAGTTGGAAATTCTCAACATTCCAATATGCCAAATTAGTATTATAATATATGGAAGTGCATTTAACTTTTATTTTTCTTACATAATGTCTTGATCACATAAAACAGTGAGGTCGCCTGTTATTGAACGAGTTCAGCTAGATCTGTATCAGACAACATGTTATCATACATACCTCTTTTAGATAATATTTTTATTGTGAACCTACATTATGTGTAGTAAATTGTTTATTTAATTATTATGTGTTTTATTGTCTTTTCCTTTTAACTTTTATTCTTACCAAAATCTGAGTTACCACTGGAATAGTGTTCATTGATATAAAATTAAAAAAAAATATGTATTAATAACAAATATATTAGGATAATATAAATATTTAGGATTTATATTCTTAGTCTGAAACTTAAAAAAAAACTTAAATGACAAATCAATGTCAATGTCTTGTTTACAAAAAGATACGAAAATGGAGTACATTTAGGTCCGAATAATCAAAAACATAATCTTTTTATATGTAACTATACAACCAATACTTTTTGTGACATCAAAAGATCTCCATATAAAAATACCTAAGAAATAAATTAAAAATGTACTGCTCGGATGTTGTTTATTATATATCTCTAGGAGTTTGCATTTCTCTCGGCAGCTGCTATAAAAAAATTACTAATAATGAAATGAAAAAGAATTACGGAACAGGGCTTGGATTGTTGCTCGTCTGTTTAATATGTGGAACTTCAATTTATCATTCCGTGTTAATGGTGTGGGGTAATATCGTAATTATTAAATGTTGCGACCGAAGGTGAGCTCTTTGTAATACAAATATTTAAATCTATTGAGAATATTCTATGAATCGATTTTCCAGATATTTACATCAAATCAGCATGGCTTATACGTGGCTCTATTTGTTGTACCTACATTCGTATGTGATTAATGATTACATTATATGGATACATCAATCAATGGCCTTAAAACTTGTCGGATTAGCGTTTGAAATGAATGCGGCTCATGTCAAGACGGAAGGAAAGACTCCTGTGTCGAAAATTAATCTTCGTGATATGGATAACATTCCGCCTGACCCAAGCGCAGCTGATATCATAGCATATGCGTTTTATTTTATTGGACTCCATAGAGGTAGTGAATAAAAAAATATATATTTTCTACTTCCTAAAAAATATTCGTATTTGAACTTGATTCGAAATAATCCTTAACTCAAGAAATATAACGTTGTATTGCTTATTTATAGGTCCTTACTATAGATATAAAATATTTAACGATCACTTCGAAAATACGTTTGGACTTTTAGGAGATTGCAGAATTATAACAGAACAAAAACTTAAAAAAGCATTAGTTTGCGTTATGGGGTACATAATTATAAGCAAGAATTATTCTCCAGAGGTAAAAATCAATGTTAAATTCTTTTTAAGAAATTTGCAACTAGATAGATTATTTAAAAAGGCTATCTTATGACTCTTCCTTACTTACGTGATAATTTTTTTTTTATATTCTCATTTCCAGTTGTATTACAAAGATATATTCTATACAAACTATGGGGCAGACTCTCGTTATTTGTACAATATTCCGCAGCTAGTGTTAAATGTTCTTGAGTATGAGGCTATCATGATGTTGAGTACCAGTGTCTTCACGGAAACTGGTTTTGGAGTGTACCCAGCAAAATGTCAACCTGTACCTGGTTATGGACCCAGTGCCCAATTTAGTTTTCTTACACTAGCGTATGTTTGAAATAACAACAAATTAAACTAGATTTATTTCTTCCTATTTTAATTTGCCTAAACCTTACCAGGTCCGCGTCTCCAGAAATAGCTATTGAAGAGGAATATAACTTTTCAATGCTTAAATGTTTTGATAACGAACGTTTGATTCTTGGGCCGAAAATGAGGATGACGATGAGAGCTTTTGACATGCCTACTCGGTTCTGGTTTTGGGCTTACGTGCAGAAAAGCTTCCTAAAATCCAATAAGGAAGTCAGGTACTTACAATTTTGAAATAAAATATTTCTATTATGTTTACAATATTATAATGTGGTCATTCTTTTACAGAAGCGCCTTTTCTTTTTTAGCATGGACCGTGTGGTATGGGCCTACGATACCTAAGTTCATAATTTCTTCGACATTGTGGGTGTACGTGCATCTTGAAGAGGAGTATAGTATTTTGTATAATACGTCTGGTCCTGTAAGTCTAATTTATCTACAGCGTAATATTTAAGTCCTTTTTTAATTTGATTTGGATCAACCTTAGTCTCAGCATTTTGTAGTGAATTATTTGCTGTATCAGACCAATATTACAATATAGGGGAGCAGGTGGTGTATGGTTAACATGGATGAAGACTTTACAGCGATTATTTTATGATTATTTCAGATGAAGTTACCTTGGGATATAGGTTTTTCGATCATGAGAATATTCTGCCTCCTGTATCTGACACCGTGCTTCACTGTTAAAGAGACGCATATTGTACTTAAATATTATAATTCAATATTTTGGGTCTTCCATTTCATACTGCTGCTCATGATGATCCTCTCTATAATACTGTACAAAACAAAACGTGAATGAACTTTTGATTTGAATTTTAATATACATATTGTGGTATGTACTATAAACGCATTTTTATTATAATATCCATGAAAAAATTTATCAATGAATTTCAAAAACTTATTATTACTGAAAGAATTTATATGGATACTAAAAGACCCGGCGAATTTCGTATCGCCCTATAATCAAGAAATATCTGTTACGTTTTTTTATTTATATTTTTGGAGTTTACCTATTAAAGCCATAAATCTCCGTGTTTTGAAGTGCGACAGAATGATTGACATATTAGTAAGTTGTCAAATCTAATGTCAAAAAAAAAACACGTTTGTATCAACAATTACTAATAAATTAAAAATTAATTTAAAAAAACATTGTCCAGCGGACAAAATTGTGAATCTAAACCATTCCTAGATCCCCTTGAACACACACAAAATATTTCATCAAAATCGGTCCAGTCGTTTGAGAGAAGTTCAGTGACATACACACTCACAGAAGAATTATATATACATATAAAGATCGGTTCGAATGAAGGTGGTGAACGCATCTCAGTAATGTTTAATTCACTCTGTTTGAATACACAAAACTGTTAAGAGAAACAAACAGTTATTGAGGCTTTAAACAATATTAAAGAATACTATGTGTTGTTCGAGTTAATGAAAATATTGCTTTTACTGTAATCAATTTTACTGATAAATTGTCAGAAGCTGAAATATAAAATATATTAATATTTTTGTCACAAGAAGACCATAGACAGTATTCGGTGTAAAATATTGAAAAATAAAACAAGATTATTTTTTTTCCATTTTATTGATCACAGTTGAGCTTTAGTGGAAGACATATATTGGTCTCATAACAAAATACTTTAAAACCTTAATAAATACTTTTATACATAACAGGCTTTGTGATATTGTCTTTTTTTAAGTAGGTATATTTTTTTAATGTATATAAACTTTGTAATATATTCTCAACAATATTACAGACACTTACGAAGCTAGTGAACAACTATGTAAACTAATTTTTCTAAAAGCATATAAATAACCACATTTTATTTATCATTCCATTCGTATAGACTAAAAAATTTACTTTTGTACTTAATGTTCAAATGACATTCATTTATTTTATTCACTTCCACATTGCACTACATTTAACATTCACATATATTTAGTTTAAAAACAACAAATACTTAACAATGATAAGATCTAGCCTTTCATTTTAGTGGCTTCTATAATAATTTTGGGATCTTCAATCGTTGTTTTATTTTGGACGAGTCTCAATTCTATGAGCGCTGGAGAAACCTTTCCTGTCGCTTGCACAGCTGTCAAAAGATGTAATATATGATATTTTGAAAAGGTGTAAAGGAAATTTTTAATAAATAAATATGTAAACATGAAAAAAATAATTCAGTTTGATGATTTAATTAAAAATATATTTTAATATCGTTAACGTAGAAGGGGTTAAATGGAAATGCATCAGCCAGTGCTAGCCTTGTATCGTCTGAACATGAGACTTCTTTTTACTTAGTCATTCGACCAAGTACTCTACAGTATTTTTTGATTAGAAAATATAGAAATACGTACAGACATCAATATGCACTATAATTTAAATGATTGCATAGTATTGTGTACTATGTATTCTGCACTTTAATATATAGCTTTAAATTAACAATAGCTGACCCGGCAAATGTTGTTTTGCCGTATAAAAATATAGGGGTTGGTGATCAAAAAGTAAAAATTTTGGAAATACTAGGTACATTATAAAAAGATAAAAACGAAAAATTTCGTCCGAAACAAAAATTGAGGGTGAACAACCCTTATGACTTAGGGGTATGAAAAATAAATGTTGGCCGATTCTTAGAGTATATACTCAATATGCTCATAAAATTTCATCACAATCGGTCCAGCCGTTTCGGAAGAGATCTCTGTCTAACACCGCGACACGAGAATTTTATATAAGTATTAGATATATGAGATGTACCTACCTATAGTCAGATACCTGACATAAGACGTCATTATGGATCCCCATTACCCAAGTAGAGTTAAGATAAAAACGAATTCTTTATATTGTAAAACAAAAATTGTTCACGCAATAAGTTAGACCCAAAAAAAGTATCACTTGCGAGTTGCGACGCCTTTTTAAATATATACTAAGCTCTTTCTTTCGAGACACTTTAGTGTTCCCACTTTAATGAAGATAAAAATCTGTAGGTATATAATTATATCAAGACTTTTAGAAACTCAATGTTTGAATCAGAGCACTTAAGGCGAAATCGAAATCTTAATTTATTTATGTATCCAAGAATCCAGCGACCTTCACTTCAAGGTACTTAAACCGACATTAGAAAATCACAAACAAATAACAATGAATTGTTATAAATAACTGATAGTGATTGTGTACTACGATGCTGTTTATCTATCAAATAAAATAATATAGATAGGACTGTTAAGACAAATTAAACTTATTTTAACCTTCATTATCATTACTCTGTATCTAAGTAGTGTATTCAAATTCAATTATTATCTTAATAACCATACAAATAACAAACCTCTCGCTTTATCAAAAGTGTCCTTGACGATGTATTGTAGCGTCGCAATTGTTTTTTCTAGTGTCAGTTTCAGATTCTTATTAGTTTTGTGAGACCAAGCCATAAAAAGAGCGGCAAATAAGTCTCCAGTACCCGTAAATGTTGCACCGAATTTTGGTATCACGATTTTGTAGCAAGAATCTAGAACAGTCAAATGTTTATTATACAGGGTGACTGGTGAATTACTATCGATATTTGAGGACGTGATATTTGACGATCATATATGACAAAATAAAAATTAATATAACATAAATATTAATAAACTTCTAAGTAAAGTTAACCAAAAGTTATGTAATTAATTACGCATCGTGTGAACACCCTACAGATTAGGTATACACTGACACTCACACCTACGCGTGTCGTGACGTGGTGTTGTATCAGCACGCCGCCGCAAGCGTCCACACTTGAACACGTGGAACGTGTCAACACTTTATTTATTTATACGGAAATTTTGTCAAAAATTAAGTGCCTATTTTTTTGACATAATTCGAATGAGAATCATGTACCGAGTATGCTCCTTAAATATTGATAGTAATTCACCAGTCACCCTGTATATGCCCATAAATAAAACGAAACATATAAATTTATTAAAATGCAATTATTGTGACAACACTACATTGATTACGTAATTCACAATGAGTAGGTACATTGTAAATACAAAACTTGTTTATGAAATAAACCATTGTTTTCATATAATGGGATATTACATCTGAGAAGCTATGTTTGTCATAAAAATATTTTTATGATAGCTGTTTGGATATAATTTATAATATAGCTATAGCAAGTTCTTATTTCACTATATAGGTACATTGATAAGATAAAATTTATAAACTAGGTTTATTTAATAATAATTACTGTTATAACTAAGATAACTTATCTTAACATAAAGAAACAATAATATTACATTGTATGTACTAAGAGATATATTGCATAAAGTACACAAGTATTGAAATCAAATTTTTGATGTTAAACAAATGATAAGATTTGAGGAAAGAATCAAAAATTTTCATATTACCTTTATTACTGGCAATGCCAATCATATTCTGTTCATCTCCAAGATCTGTGCTAGATAATACCACAGTCTTAACTCCCTTATTGTGTAAAGCATCAATGATTTTTAAAGCACCATCCAGATCATTCATGGTCAATCCGGTAATTTGTTCAGCTTCAAACTGATTTGGTGTTAGTATATCGGCTAGTGGTACCAATATGTCTCTGTACACGGGCAATACTTCATCTGGCACATACATCTTGCCATTGTCACCCATTACCGGGTCACATACTATAACAAAACATTATTTTTAACTTAACTGGTAACTTCATTTTATTATTATAGTAATAATTGATAATATTTAATAAAAATCCTTTGAGTAATGTTAAAGACATGAAAAACATTTATAACAATGTATGTCTTTATCAATAAGTTTGATATAAAAATATTTAAGTTTTACCCACAGATAACAGGTTAATTTAAGTAACACACAATTATGTTTTTTATAAAAAGAAACATATTATTTACTGTCAAAATAACATCAACCAAAAGTTTGAAAGAAACTAGTATTAAAAGCAAACTCCTTCTTGTTTCTTCCACACAGTACTCAAGATTATAATTTCTCCAAAAATTAAAAAGGTTGACATTCTCAAAATATTCCACAATTCCAGTTTGAATCAGGCCATCACATTAAAAAAACTGTTTAATGCATATATAATTTTTGTAACTTAGGAATTATAGGAAATATTCCTAAAATATTTTGTTTTAAAATTACATAACTATATTTTATTTTTGTAAATATTAATGTTGTACAACTATGAAATTTTACTAAATTGTTAAAATTACATAATATGATGTAATACCTTTTTACATAAAAAAGAACTTACCATAAATTAAGTTTGGATTCTTCTGTTTCAATTTGGTAATTATACTTGCTATTTGTTTTAATGAATCTGGAGATCTAGAATATCCTGTCAGGAAATGTGTGTAATAGTCAACTTCATTAAGAGCAAGCCCTTCTATGAGTTCAGCCATTTCCTCATTTTTAAGGATAGTGCCTTTAATATGCTTGTAACCAGTGTGTGTTGAAAACTGAACAGTGTTTATAGCATCCACTTCAAAACCTAAGACCTGAAATTATTTATACAAAAATATTTACTAAGAAAATTAAGCTAAACTTGAACCTAGCTAATGATTGGATTAATATTTAGTAAGTTATAGTCAAATAAAAAAAACATAAATGAATACCTTCAATTATAATCAAAGCTATATTCGCTATGAATACGAAACTTACTTGGAGCGGAAAAACCGCGCTTTTATTCCCAACGTATCCATGAACTACATGACTTTGTATTGAAAGAACTCTTGGAGTCGAATCAGTAGACATTTTAATAGATAACAAATAAGTATCTTGAAATATATTTATTTTAAAGCAAAGAGCTGTGTTTTCTGAGCACAATCACACGATGTTATCAGTAGTTAACTGACTAGTAAAGTAATAATTAATATCTACTAGAAGACCTGGCGAACTTCGTATCGCCCTATAATCGAGAAATATCTATTACGTTTTTTTATTAATATTTTTGGAGTTTACCTGTAAGCCATAAATCTCCGTGTTTTGAAGTGCGACAGAATGATTGACATATTAGTAAGTTGTCAAATCTAATGTCAAAAAACACGTTTGTATGGGAAATGTAAAAAGGGCTGTTTTTATGGTTCTCCCAGTAATGAATCAATTTTTTTCAGCTTTTATACCTTCCCTGAACCTCCACGAACATTTCAAGACTAAGATAAGATAAATCCGTTCAGCTGTTTTCGAGTTTTAGCGAGACTAAGGAACAGCAATCCATTTTTATATATATAGAAGATTGCTTACTATTTGACTTAACTGATAATAAATATTGTCATTTGTCACTACTCACTACCTTTACGTTTGACAGCTGATAAGTAAGATGACAGCTGTCTGTGATTTTTAAAAACCTATCGAAATATTTAATTATACCAAAATGAATTTAAATGTATATTATCAAAAGAGATATTGTTATAAAGTTAAGTGTAGGATTTTATTTGAAAAGAATGCTTGATCTTAAAATTCAGCATTTCATGTAAAGAACATTAGAAAAGTTTCATGTCTTTGAAGGTATAAGAAATAAAAATTGAAAAAAAAAACAATAAAAGTATTGTAAATAAATACGTTTTATTTCTTAATGGCTGGTAGTAGGTTTTTCTTGAGCTGTTTCATATGCTCTTTCTAATGTGTCTGTAATTATTTTCATATCTTTCTCAATACTCCGAGCCCAATTTTCCACATCACCAATCTCTTTTAGAGAACTACTAAAGTTCTCGACTAGAGCAAGCCACTGCTGTGTTTGTTTTGCAAAATTTATAGCTCCCTGGTGTAGAAGTTTTGCCTCAGCATCTAATTTCTTTTGGTTTAAATAAGCTTGGGCCACCCTGAAATAATAATTTTTAAAAAATGGTTTATTATATATTTGTATGGAAACCTTATTTATATTATTTTTAGTATGTATATGCAGTTTTAAACTTTGATAGATATGTTTTCAAAAATAACACTTGATAATAAACAAGACCAGTATAAAACATGTTCCGTTGTTGGGAATATGATTATTTCAATACAATATTTTACATTAATGTTTCTTGAGATGTGTACTTGCATTTGGTTTGCTTGGTTTTAACATTATACACCAAAATATAAAATACATATTTATATTTATGTTTATGAAATATATATTTGCCCTAAGAAAAAAAAACTTTTTTTACCCAACATTGAGGTGATCAACAAGAGCCTGTGTTAAATCATTGGCAGCAGTTATGCATTCTTTACGTTTTTGCTCTGGAATAAATAGATATATTAGTAAAGAAAGTTACATGGGCTAAACGCTTACTAAGATAACTATTCATAAATTATTAGGTACCTTGTATTACTCGCTTAGACGCCTGCTTAGCTTGATGCTCCTTTATAAGGGAAGATAACATTGCAATACGTGAATAGTTCTGACACCAATAATAATAACTTATTTATAAAATTATGAGTATGAAATCGAGTTGAAAAGAATTGTTTTTGTTTATAATCAGTACTGGGTAGGGTATCGTGACAGATGACAGATCACTACAGTCACTATGCAGTAGAGCTGTCAATGTTTTTATAACAAACTTAGGCTTTGGATTTCTGGTATTTCATACAAAAAATATTTCTTTAATATTATAATTTTGTTAACCTAATTGAAAATACCATTACTAAGTGGCGTTAATAACATTATCATAGAATATGGACTATGGAACATTACTATACTATTGGGTATGATTATTAGTTTCTGTTAGTTATATAAAATTTAATTTTTAGATCGTGTCTATCACAATACGAATATAAACAATTTGTTATATTTTTAACAAGCTGTTGTAGTAATTTAGAAAATTATATTTTTGCATGTTCTGTTATTTATTATATTTTTTCCTGTTCTGTTTTTCAGAAGAAGAATATTTTTTAAATGGAAACATTTTTCCTTTGTAAAACTTATGTACCTACCTATTATTAAGACTAGATAAAAAATTGTGAAGACTTGAAAAGATGATAGTTATTGACTTTAATTCATAATCATCGGTTATGAATTAAAAACGATGGTTTATAAAATATCAATGGAACGCTCGATATTTAGATAGATAGCCAATACAAATTGATCTTAATTAAGGGCACTGAAATGTTTAATCGTAGTGAAATTATCTTTTCAGGTCAATGTGCAAGGCCGTGTTGAAAGGTTTTTTGTACATTTTTATTTTATTGATCCAACATAGGATAGTGTTAAAGCCCCCATCAAAACTTGCTCTTCCAAAGATGTAGAGAGCAAGAAGGTATAGCTCAACTCTGTACTCTTTATTAACTTCTATTAATATTTATCTTCACCTCCCAATTCTCAAAGAAAGCGACACACCGCGCTCTAAATCTACAGGTGTGCATAACTGATGGTTGCCAATCACCAACAGGTGCTGTCGGGTAGTTTGTTAGCTATAATATGAAGCAAAGAGTTCCCAGTGTTATTAAAATGTCATTGTGGGTACCTACTATGTATATTTTTGGTAATATCCAGTATAATCGGTAGATATTATAACCAATATTTACTAAGGTGTCTTAAATTCTTTTTTGAATAACGTAATCACAAAAAGATATACTTTTATACTTTGAGAATTATGTTATAAATTTCTTTTAATTGAGAATCACGAGAAGTCAAGTAACGTTTTATTTTTCTATAACTTTAAGAGATTCCGTAATGTGATGGAAATGTTTGGATCGAAGTGCTTTCAGTATCATTATTGCATTGCATTAATTATACGGTGCTAATGGAAGAGGTTCATATTGATTTTCGCTTATCGTTTACTACTATGGCAGCTGTGACATCGGAAAAATTATTTCAGCCCTATTTCAAAGTTTCTTCCTTAAATATTTCAGTTTAAAAGAAATGTTATTTATTATATACAATTTTATTACAAATTAATCATATAATTTTGACAATATCTTTAAAGTAAGACAAGTAAACATTTATATATTTTAAACTTTGTACAGTCTTCATTATTATATGTAAATTTTGTTTTATTACGCTGTTTTTCTCTCGGAATTTGTTATTCCGTAGCGTAACTTCATTTTCTCTGTAAATTCGGGATCATCCCAACCCCACAGATGATGTGTGCCGTCGCCAGTACGTTGAGCTCTTTGTTTGATTATTTCTGGTGTTACCGTTTTCAGATCGTAAGCTTGTCCCAGCTGAAAGTAAAACAATCATACCATAAAATAAATTAATATTGAAAAGTTTAAATACTTTTATCTATATATATATAAAGAATTTAATATTCTACACCTCCTCTATAGTTTAAGTATTTCGAGTTTTACAGTCATGCTTAATTTTTAAAATTACACCCTTTTTCCGTTACTTATAAATGAGCGTATGAAGAGTTAAAATATTTGCAGGTTTATTATACGTACGAAATAATTCAACAAATGAAACATTACATATTCATAGTGAAAAATAAAGTTTTCAAATGTCATTTCCTAGTTATATTGTATATATATGTAATGTGAATATTCTATACAGGAACTCTGACGGTAATATTAAAGGACGTTTTTGATATATAACATGTAATATAAAATAAAAAATATAAGTTACCTTAGCCATAAGGTCAATGAACATGATTGTTGGAGTCAGCATATTAAGTATCGGGTGTTCAGTCGCGCGGTAGTCCCAGGGGAAAGTGTGGTGATAATTATGAAAGCCTTCTACACAGAACATCCATACTGCGATGTTCTCTCGTGGGTTCAACGACCTTTAAATATTATAGATTAAAGTAAAATATATTTAATGCGTAAGCTTAGAAAATATTAGAGAATATTTATTAAGACAAGATAAATATATATTGTTTACGTTTACACGAACATGTCTATTATATAACGGTAATCTTACTTGTCATATGGTCGGTAGCCAAAGACGTGAGCAAAACTGTTTACGCTCCACACTATATTAATGCCGCACGTGTACCGCAGAATTGTGGGGATTAGGAAAGCGTTCAACCACGTCTCGTTCCAGAAATACACGGGAATGATAGTAGGAAACACGAAGCACAGGATTGGCATCATTTTCAAGTAATGCCTGTACGGATGAAAGGAAAATTTAAAGTTATACTTTAAAACTGATTCCACATCTGTAGTTAGATAAAATTTCCTGCCTTTTCTGGAACATAACGACTGGATCATCATAGAGATCTTTTAGTTCTATCCGGCGTCCACCTTCTAATACTTCAGGGGATTTCTTAACACAAAGCCAGCCCATGTGTGAGTAGAAAAGACCGCGCTCAGCGTTATGTGGATCAGCATCCGTGTCTGCGTACTTGTGATGTGTACGATGGTCACGAGCCCATTCAAATATACAGTCCTGAAATATTATTTTTACTCTATACGTTATATATACTCTATGGTATTAGACATAGATTAGGTATATTTCGTAAAACATACTTGGAAACCCATAGTCTGCCAAATCATAAGAAGAATACGGAGAGGAGTTTTTGCTTTAAAACTTCTATGTGTCCACAGCCTATGTGACCCGGCGCCAATACCAATAGCGCAACAAAGATGTACAAGGAATGCTACATATAATAATTATAATTAATATTATATATTACTACATGAGTATACAATCAATGTTTGATACCCACCAAAAACATTAGTCTGCCATTTTGCTGAAGTGAACACTAAATAAATACCGTAAGCTGAGGCAATGTGTAAGAATAAGAACCACATAATATTAAACCAAACGTATTCATATTTTCTAGGTCTGGCTTTCTTTAAAATCGATACATCTTTATCAAGACCTAAGTCTGGAGTTTGGGTGTCGGTTTCAAATAGCACTCCACTCGGAGTAGGATCGGCTTGAGGAGGCATTTTCTGCAAGAAAGTTTCTTATTTAAGAATTTTAAGTATCTTCAGTCACTACGAGGTTGTTTTGCCACTTAACTTCGTAAAAACGCAAAATATTTTGTTTTGTAACGTTTTTTTTAAATGATTCTGAATAATAAGTTAGTTTTGTTTATTTAAAAATATACCCATTTAGCCACACATTATTGTAATTGTTTCAGCCACGAAATATAATTTAACACTATTCAAATTGGTCGTAAATACTCTATTCAACGATACGTAGCGAATTTAAGGATCGAAAGCCGTTAGCTTTTAAAAAGTATTTAAATGATGTTAACGGAAAATGATATTAGTAATGATACAGTATTTTGAAGTCTTTTTAAATCTGTTAAACAAAAATATTCACTGTTAGTTCTACTAGTAATTTTTATCCCATCGTTTTAATTTTAAATATATGAAATATATACTGAACCATAAAGAAAAATGAATTCCCTATAAATTAACTATTATTTTGGTACATGTACAGTTTCAAATTAATAATTATAAATAGCAACAGATTATATGGTGAGAATCTTACCACTTAATTGACACTGGTCCGGGATTGTATCGATCAGTGTCTTTAAATACAAATTGAACAATAGGATTGCATTAACATGTTTGCTTAATTATGTACAGATGACCTACTAATGGTCTAATCAATTACTTATTGTATTACACGAACCAATAACCTATTGTAACCCCATGTTACACAAACGGGATAATCGGCATTAATTATCTATATTACTACTGTTTTTATAACGAATTCGGGAATTATGTTCATAACGTATAAAAGTTTTTATTACTAAAGTAGCTGATTTATGATTTCAACACTATCTAGCCACATATAAAATTGAATGTAAATTGATTCAGTAACGACAAGTTTATTATTTTAATATTATAATTTCGGAAATAATTTTAAATGTATACAAACAAAAAAATATTTATCTTTGCCGATTTTTCACATCACTATAAAATATAATGTCCTTAATTTAATTTTAACTTCGTCATATTACGATTCTTTAATTCAAATAATTATTCACATATCAATCATGAAGATGCAAAAAAATATCGATTTTTTTTGTTCAAATCGAAATAATAGAATCGTATATTGGCTGTAGGTTTATTATGTCGGTTGGCAAATATAGCTGGGGCCGGGTTCAAGCCGGATGGGAACAGCTCGTAATTTCCGCTGAATCGTCCAAACGGCTGCACTACACCTTGATACCGTCTGAATTTGTTATATGTGACGAATTTGCTAAATTCGATCCTGCAAACGCCAGTTATGTGTATTTCACTTTATAGACGGAATACTAATTTCGTTCTGACATTCAGATAATAAATTCAGTGACTTTTATTAGAATATATCAATTTGATAATCTATACACTTTATTTATTAATGAAGATTTTAATTATTTATAAATTAGATAATGTGATAAAATTTTTAAATAGGACAACACTTGTTCATAATTTGACACTTGACATAATTAATATTTTTGTTCGATCAATTATGGATTTTTGTACAAATTAAAATTCAACAAACATTTTATTTAATTGTATTTTACGAAAGACAGGTAACATATATGTACATTGTCATTGTTATGTCTTCACATACATATAAATTAACATTTACATATAAACTTGATTTCATGTTACGAAATATTTTATTTCGTTGTTCATTATTGTATACGCCGTTTGTGTGTGCATATTAATTGTTCACGTTTAATCTAGATTAATATTTTGTAGACGACCGTATATTTATTTTATCTTTAGTGTAGATAGATTATTAAGTTAATGTCACTCGCCTTAAATTTCGTCAGGAGTTTTATTTCTTTACATTACTTTACTACTTTAAGCGTTATTTAGTTTAAACGTTTCGTCTTTATTGAGTAACATGTCTTTAAGATAATTTTATGAAAATATTCTTTAAAAGATTTCGCTTACATAATAAGAATTGGATATTAATAAATATCAAGGGCGGTTAAGTCGACAAATGTTTCACAATTTTTTTAGGGAATCTATATTTATTCCGCCAGTTTACATTTATTCTCGCAACGATGGCAGCATATTCCTCTAGGGATTTCAAAATTGTGAATACATCAAAGCGAATCTTTCTTGATCTATCAGATTTGCTGTAAGTACGGTAAACATACGAGAAAATGGATAGCAAATCTTTCTACCGAGTAACTAGGGCATGTGTACAAGATTGTGTATTGTGAAGATTTCTCCGACAATCTTCAGATTTTTTCTACTTCAATAGTAATTTTTGGCACGTCTTCACTGCTTGTATGCCTTATATACAAAACCTGCGCTAAAAATTCTAGTAAAAATATAAATCTAATGCATATTTAAAGGAATATTATCGTAATATAAACTTTATGTAAATGTGTTTTAATATTTCAAATATATATAATATTTGAATAAAATTATAAAGTAAGAAATGAATAAAACAGATGAGAAAAGTTTTTGTCAGAAGTTATTCACAAATAAAAGTTCAGAAGCACGATCTTCAACGACGTCGCAAAAAGTATCTAGTACTTCGTAATGTCAGTGGGTAGACATTCCTAGTCTGGAGAGTACTGTCTCAGTCGCGAAGACACTGAGTGAAAAGCTAAGATTTACATTGAATATTACGCAAAAAATAACTTCAGTCTACTTTCTTAATGTCCTGATTGTTTTTTGAAAATGGAATGAGCAAAAATTCAGTTGAGTAAACCGTGTATTTACGAACCTGGTTTAAGAAAAACAAAAAGAGTACTCTAGTCTTCAACCTTTTTTCAGCGAAAAAGTAGAATCGGAGTGATGGAAAAATATTCGTATATTGGTATAATCTGTATTTTTAAGACTATAAAATAAAGAATAATGAAATATTGAAGTTTTGTTTGATTTTACTTAAAAAAATATATTTTCATAATAAAACTAAGACGATAAAATTGAAAGAATCTAAAGATATAATTAAAAGGAGCCTGTTTTATGTATTCCTTTTAAAGATAGTTATCAACCTTTCTTTGTGTTAAAGAGTTTATAAATAGGACATTCCCGAGAACCTTTGTTTTTTGTTTGAGCGATACTGATGCCTTAGAAGTTCTATTATATAATTAGAAAATTAATTTTCAAACAAATCTATTGACTTCAGTTTCTTATAAAACAAATAATAAATTTTATAAAGCACAGTAAGTTTTACCTACAATGAGTTTTTTTTTAATTCTATACTTGTATACATAGCGTACTGAAATAATTTCATTTATTAGGTACGTCGATCAAAAAAAAAATTATTACAAAGTAAATTTTAATCGAAGGGTTTATATTTAAATTAGACGTTGTAAATATTTACTTTGGTTTGTTTATTAAAGGCAATTGAACTGTTTTCTTTATTCTGATTTATCAATTCAAATATAAAAGCAGTTATTAATTTCTACACTTTAATAATAATTGTATTATTCTGACAGTGATTTTTACAGGTGACATTTTAGTGTTATTTTTTTCATTTAAATTTGAACCCTGTCAATAATGACTTACAATGTCACAACGGTAAAGCCATCAACACACTACTCAAGCTTATAATTCATCAATCAAACAAAAAAGTTGACTTAGGCAAAACATTCCACGATGCCAGTGCGTATGAAGCCATAGGATAAAAGATATTTTAGATATCTAAGACAATGACGTGTTTATAAAAGTTACATATATTATATACTAGCTGTGCCCGCGACTTATTAACACTATGCGATTAATGGTGCCTATGTATAAGCATAGAATAGTGTTCGACGTGATTCTTTAATTTGACATAACTTTTTTATTAATGAACCGATTGACATGAAACAAACACTAAAGCATAACTGAAGCATACCACAATCTATTCGTGAAAACCGCATCCAACTCGGATCAGCCGTTTCTGAGATAAGCGTGAACAGACAAACAGACAAAAAAAAAGTTAATTACATTTTTGGGTTCGACATCGACATAACAATAAACCCTGCTATTTTTTTTTTTATTTTCAATGTACAGACAGCACTTTTCTACAATTTTATTATATGTATAGGTATATAGATTAGGGTTAATAAGAACAACATTTTTATTTAGCAATTAACATATGGTATACTTACATGATAGGAGGTTGTTCTCAATTTGTTTGTTATAACAAAACAAGGTAACAAGCATTTTTATACGTATAAATAACACAATAACCTTTGTTTCATGTTTGCTGACGTCAATTGAATTATGTTTCTCTTGGAGGCACTAATGATTTTAGTTCCTCAGAGCAAATACAATGCGGTCTAGGCAATAACACGGCGTAAGTGGGCTACCTCATTAAGTTAACTAATATATTAAACTTAAAGGGTGCTTTATAATAAACATTTGTTAAAAAAACAAAATATGAAATGTATTGGTTGTATAAAAAAAAGGATTTATTATTTATGTATTATTAAATTTCATTATTTTCATGATTATCTTCATAAATAATTTATTTGAACTGTTTTAACAAGCTACCTACCGCAAACGGTCCGATAATTTCTGTTTTTAATGTTAAAAACGTACATTCAGCCGCACAGATTTACATATTTTCTCATAATGGTACAGCGATTATAGATTATAATTTATTACCCGTCACGATGATGAATTGAAAACAATGTTGTTTACTGAAAATTTAACAAAATCCAAGAAAAGTAGCCATTTAATCTAAAGAAAGTGGAAAGAATGGTGATTCATCTAGTAATTGGGTCCCGTCTGTCTGAGAACAATTAACTGTTCTCCAACGGGAAATTAGAAGGTATTTCGTCACTTCTTGATTGAAATACATTCGACAGTTAGACGAAAATTATTTTGACGTTGACAAATTTCTGATTAAAACGTGCAATTGATGATATCGTTTTGGTGTTTAACATTAATACAATGATTTAATACCTTTATATATTCGTATTATATTCATTTTGACATTTGCTGGTAATAAAATCAATAACTTTATTTAATATTTTTTAAAAATTGATTAG